ATCAGGTAGCCTATAATATATCGCCACGTGCTCTTACTCTTTACCGCTCGGCCCGACGACCCAACCCGAAACGAATATGCGCGGTATTTGCTCGGTATTGCTGGGTACTACTCGGTATTTGCTCGGTATTTTGCTCGGTATTGTTCGGTATTGCTCGACATTTCTCGCAAGCGAAATGTCGTTGAAATGCTGTAACTTTCGATCCGGCAGCAGGGAATGCCGGATGAACGAAGTCGACCAACTGTAGAGGGTCGAAGAAGCACGCGAAAGAGAGGAAACTACCTTTATAGCGAGCAAACTCTGTTTGTTGCCTCCGATCAAACTTCGTAGCTTCCGATCCGGTGGAAAGGGAAAGTCGTCGATGGAGAAAAGTCGAACGGTCACGAGTGGAGCCGAAGAAGCACGCAAAATGGAGAAGGTTATCTCCACAGCGAGCGGGATCCCGTTTTTGCTTTCGATTAAAATGTTGTAACTTCCGATCCCGAGCAAATACCGAGTAGTACCTAGCAATACCGAGTAATTACCGCACATATTCGTTTCGGGTTGGGTCGTCGGGCCGCGCGGTAAAGAGTAAGAGCACGTGGCGATATATTATATGCTACCTGATATATCTCTACGTCAGGTAACCCGAGGCAATAAAAATTCCCTCACATGAGACGAAATGGTTCAAAACCCAAGTCACAACTCTCTCCCTCACGTGAAGAAGATTTGATCGGATTTGTTTTTTTTTTTTTTTTTCCGAGACAAAAAAAAAGAGCTGCCATTTAGGGATAGATTTTTAGAAGGCTGGCAAGACGACTCTGTTAGGGTTTGCTTTCCCCTGGCGGCTTTGCTTCTTCTTTCTTCCTGTTCTCCGGCCATTTGGCCGGGATGGCCTTAAATCCCTTGGATTTCCCTCCCATGTTGGGCTCCTCAGTTCTGGGAGTTCCGCCTCAACCCCTTCCTCCTGCCACCTATGCTAGCAACCTCTCTTCGTCTCCTTCTTCTTCCGATGAGTTCCCTATGTCCTTTGTCTCCCCGACGAAGAAACTCTCTTTCAAAACTGACGACCTCACGGAAGGCAAGAACTTCTGGCATCTTTCGCTTGTGGGTTACTCCATCGGGCAACGACCGTATTACGAGCGTCTACTTGCTGCTATGAACAAAGCTTGGAAGCTCAAGGGCTCTTTTTCTCTTCTCTCCCTCGCTGATGATTTTTTCCTGTTAAAGTTCACGTCCGCGGAAGACTTCGACATGGTCCGCACCGGTGGCCCCTGGTTCTTACTTGGTAAGCCGTTCATTCTCCAGGAATGGTCGCCGAAATTTAAGCCAAAGCGGGATGAAACTGGCTCTATTCCCCTTTGGATTAAGATCCTTGACCTTCCTCTCGCCCTCTGGACTCCGGCAGGTATATCAAAAATTGCTAGTTACATTGGAGTTCCATTATATGTTGATTCTCTTACTGCTAAGCGTACTAGGCTTACGTTTGCTACAATATGTGTTAAAATTGATAAAAATTCGAAGATGCCGGAGGAAATCCCGCTGGAAATTGATGGGGAAGACATGTCTCTCAAAGTAGTCTATGATTGGAAACCTACCAGGTGTGAAGGCTGTGGCTCCTTTATTCATCCCTTTGACCTCTGTCCCTCTAATCCGACACCAAAACCAGCTCTTCCTCCTCGTCCACCTCCTCGTGGGTGAAGCAAAAGCAAAAAACCGTCTGAAAGGGAGCGCTCTTCTGACTCTGGAAAACAAGGCAACGCTACGGACAAACCCATTCCAACTCCTCCATCACCTATCAAGCAACTACCACAACCAGAATTGGAAGTGATTCAGCCTGTTTTGATTCCTTCCGAATCAACTGTTACTCCACAAGCCGAATTAAATTCAGAAAAGAATTCGACGCTTCCTAATCTTAATCTTCCTAATGAGGAGTCAGCTTCTTCAGAGCATTTTATCGGTGCTATTTCCCCTCCCAAAAAGGTTCTTCCTACTCTCTTACTTCCTTCTCAAGTTACTCTAGCAAACAGTTTTGCTTCCCTGCAGACTGAAAATCATTTAACTTCCGAGGGAGACTCTCTTGAGGGGGAAAGTAACTCTTTCACCTCTAAACCTGATGATCCGCCTCCTAAAATCCAAACTCCTACATCAAAAAATCCTCCCGGTAAAAACAAGTCCCCTGCCAAAAAAACCAAAGCCAAAAACTGCCAAAAAGGCAAAACCTCCCAAGTAGCCATGTCCCTGCCTCCTCTTGCTGCTTGGAATGTTAGGGGGTTTAACAATCCCACCAAGACCAAAATGTGCAAAGACCTCATTTCTTCTTATAACCTTAAGCTTCTCTGCATCCTGGAAGCTAAAGTACACCAACAGAATTCTGATGACCCTTGGTTTTCTCAAACCCATGTCCTGTTTGAGAATGAAATGAGTTGTGATAATTTCCATTGTGCTTCCCCGGGCCGTATCTGGGTGAAATGGGACTCTTCGCAATTTACTTTTACTCCTACCTTCTTCTCGCAGCAATTGATTCATGGTATTTTGAATGCGGGTTCTTTGCCGCCTTGTCATTTTTCGGTTGTATATGCTGCAAACCAGCCTGAGGACAGGAAAATTTTATGGAAAGAGTTGCTCGATTTATCTGTGGGGGTGGATAATCCATGGATTGTCCTCGGTGACTTCAACTGTTATAGGTTTGATAATGAAAAAGCTGGCAGAATTTCATCGTCTTCCGCTAGATTGGTGGAATTCAATAATTTTATTTTTGAGTCTGGTTTACAAGATCTAGCTTATGTGGGATTGTTTTACACTTGGTTTAATCAAAGGTCCGATTCCCCCATTCACATCAAACTCGACAGGATCTTGGTGAATTTGTCTTTTCTGGATGTCTTCCCGGCGGCTTACTACAGAGTCGATCCTCCTTCTGGGTCGGATCACTCTCCGTTGATTCTCTTTGACACTCAACCCAATAAACCTTTCTCTAGGTTTATGTTCAAGGATTATTGGACTCATTTTGATAGTTTTTGGGAGGCTACTCTTTTAGCATTTGAAAGGCCCTCTACTGCCAGTCCTATTCCAGCTCTGTATAATTGTTTAAGAATGCTTAAACAGAAGATTCGTGGGAAAAATTGGAGCTCCTCTAATTTTATTTCTAATGCTATCCTTGAGGTGAAGAATTTCCAAGCACAATGTATGATGGATATCCAGCACGATCCTTCGAACCCTTCACTTAATTCTTCTCTTAAGTTAGCTAATGAAAAATTGGTCACATTATAAGCCGCTTGGCATTCCTGGGTTTCTCAACGGGCCAAAGCTTATTGGTTATCTCAGGGGGAGGATGATCTCGGTTTCCTGTATGCCAAGATTAGATCGAGGAAGAATAGAAATACCATTAAAGTGCTTACAACTTCTGCTGGACATATTACTTCCCACAATGCCATTGCTCATACTCTGATTGAGCATTTTAAGGGTCTTTTCAATGCTCCCACTCCTCCTAAAGAAAATGACCTTATTTTTCCTGTTGGTAAAAAAGTGCCCACTGATTTGCTAGATGGTTTAGTGTTAAATGTTACAAATGAGGAAATTAAGAAGGTGGTGTTTGAGGGTGTTGCTTCGTCCTCTCCGGGTCCCGATGGTTATTCTTTTGGCTTCTATCAAAAAACTTGGCACATCACGGGCTTTCTTCTTTGCAAAGCTGTAAAAAAAATTTTCATCTCTGGGAATATGACAAAAGGAGCTAAAGCCACTGCGATTACCCTCATCCCCAAAGGATCTCATTCCAATACTGTGGCTGATTTTAGACCTATCTCTTTATGCAATGTTTTTTATAAAATCGTGGCTAAGATCATTGCTAACCGTTTGAAGATCATTCTTCCCCACATCATCCATGATAGTCAGTCTGGTTTCATTTCTAATAGAGTTTCGACTGACAACATTATCCTGGCTTCAGAATTTTTTAAAGAATTTAAGGGGTCTCACAATTATTTTTGTGCCAAGCTTGACATTAAAAAGGCATTTGACTCGGTTTCTCGTACCTTTTTGCTTAACAGGCTTAGACAAAAAGGTTTTCCTGACTTGTTTATCAATTGGATCAAAGGTTGTATCTCTGAGGTTAACTTCTCCATTTGTCTTGATGGTTCGTTGGAAGGTTTTTTTAGCTCCACTTCTGGTCTGAGGCAGGGGTGCCCTCTATCACCTCTCCTTTTTTGTATCTCTGAGGTTAACTTCTCCATTTGTCTTGATGGATACATTCCGCTTCTATCTCCACCTCGGCGGTCGGCGACAACACCGGAGCAGTGGTGACACCGGCCAGGTAGGGGGCTCGACGAATCCACGTCGACAATCCGGTGACGGTCGCCGGACACCGCTCCAAGAACTTCTTGGAGGAAAGATCCACCACCTAAGAATCCCTCTTAGAATACAGGAAACACATGAGACTAAACTCACATCATATTCATATCTCAAAATCTATCCTTATTACAAGACATTGGCTTATATTTATAGACTTCAGGTAGTCACATAATAGGCTACACAAGAAATAGAGCTACATCAATCACTAACAAGAAAATACAATTTATTTAAAAGGATGCTCCTGCGTCAAGTGGTCTCCACGCCCGGCATCTCCCCGTCTCTCAAATTTGTAATATCCAATCTCAAACTTCTCGTTCCACATTCGCTCACACCGGATAATTTTCCGATTTGGAGTACCCAAATCGCAAAACTATTCAAAGCAAATGGTTTTTCTCGGTTTCTTGAACCCAAATCCTCCGCCGAAAACACTGATCTGAATCAAGATCCTATTTCTTGGTCGATTACGGATCAAAATCTCGCCACAGCGATGTGCTCTACGATCTCACCTCCGGTTCTCCCCTACGTGATTCAACTCGAATCCACTTACGAAATATGTTCTACTCTTCATACAAGATTTCAGTCCTCGAATCGATCGAAGGTCATCCAGCTCAAGCATGAACTACACAATGTATCCATGCAAAATCTGTCCATGTCTCAATATCTCACCGAGATCAAGAAGATCGTGGATTACATTTCATCCGCTGGTTCATCAGTTGATCCCGAGGATGTTATGATTTACATCTTGAACGGGCTTCTGCCGGCATATCAATCCTTCACCACCACCATACGTACTATGCAAAATTCTCTATCTTTAGATAACCTCTATGCTCTTCTTATTAGTGAAGAGATCCACCTCAAAGCTGCGGCATTAAAATTTCCCACCGTCCCGGACTCAACTATCGCGCTCTATGCGGGTCACGGACGAGGCAGACGCAGTAGAACTCGTCCACCTTCAGACCCTGCTCAGACGAGTAAACAGCCAACAAGCACGATTGCCATCTGCCAAATTTGCAAAAAGAAAGGGCACACGGCAGATTCTTGCTGGCACCGGTTAAACATCAACTACACTCCGACCTCGGCACCACTCAAGAATACCAATGCTCTTCTTGTTAATAACACAAGCAACTCGTCGGACGACTGGTATATCGACTCTGGAGCTTCCTATCATATGACCAATAAAGTATCCATATTGGACGATTACAGCGAATATTCCGGCAATAACTCGGTAACCATTGGGGACGGAAGGTCCATCCCAATCGCCCACACGGGTTCGGGAATCCTTCCTACCCCCAACAGTAAGTTCTTTCTCTCTCGTTTACTTCATGTTCCCTCATTATCATATAATTTGTTATCTATTTCTAAATTGGTTAAAGATAACCCAATCACCATAACATTTGACAATAATGGTTTTGTATTTAAGGGTCGTGTGACCAAGCAAATCCTCCTCTGAGGACCCTGTAAAGACGGCCTATACAAGCTTGCAGCATGGCAACCGTCAGATCAATCCACTGCTCTCTCTGCTACCTCGGCATCAAAAGACCTGTGGCACCGTCGGCTTGGCCATCCTCACCATCGCATATTACAAAAAATTTCTCATACTAATCCCCTGTTAAACATTACTTCTTTACCTTTAGTTTGTAACTCATGTCTTTCTTGTAAAGGACAAAAGCTTATGTTTGATCGCTCTACTAGTCGAACCCAAGCACCGCTCGAACTGGTGCATTCAGACATTTGGGGACCCTCTCCGGTCCTATCTCACCAAGGGTTTCGATATTATGTAATATTCGTAGATGATTTTTCTCGTTTTATTTGGCTTTTTCCGCTTACATATAAATCTGATGTAACTAGTATCTTCATTAATTTTACTAAGCAAATTGAGCGACAAACAAACCGTAAAATCAAGATATTACGCACGGATGGCGGCGGTGAATTCATCAATCATTCTTTTAAACAATTCACGTCTCAAACAGGCATAATTCATCAGTCGTCGTGCCCATATACTCCCAAGCAGAACGGTGTTGCGGAGCGTAAACATCGTCACATTATTACCACCACCCGAACTCTTCTTCATACCGCTGGCTTACCTTTGTCTTTTTGGGTGGACGCCGCTAATACGGCTGTCTATCTTATAAATAGGATGCCATCTACTACCACAAACAATATATCACCTCTTCAACGCATGTTCGGCATCACTCCCTCATACAATCACCTTCGAACGTTTGGATGTGAATTCTATCCGCTCAACCCGCCTACTCAACGTAACAAATTAACGCCTACATCTTCACCGAGCATTTTTCTTGGGTATTCAGATACGATGAAAGGCTATAAATGACTCAATCAGGTAACAAATCAAATAGTCGTATCTAGACACGTTAAATTTAATGAATTTTCTTTTCCTTTTCAAAACAGGGCAACGTTGGATCAGCAAATCACACCTCAGGCCTTACCACCCTCGCTTCTTGTTCCATGCTCCACGGTTAATATGCAACGAACATCTTCTCAGCCAACACAAATTTTACCTGAGCCTGCTTCCTCACCCATCAAGCCGTCCATTATCACCGAACCGGTCATCTCACACCAGGATGCTGTCACTCAGTCACCCACCAGACTTCATCAAATTCATCCCATGACCACACGGGCCAAAATGGGATCCCTAAAACCTGTCAATAGGCTTAATCTAATTCATCATGAACAACCACAAACTGACCCTACTTCATACACCGAATCGAGCAAAAACTTCGAATGGAGAAAGGCAATGGCTGTAGAATTCTTCGCGCTTCAACGTCAAGGAACGTGGACGTTGGTTCCTCTTCCCTTCAACAAACCCATTCTTGGCTCCAAATGGACTTATCGAACTAAGCATACATCAGATGGATCAATTCCCAGATTCAAAGCCAGACTAGTGGCTCTTGGAAATCAGCAAGAACACGGTGTAGACTATTTCAACACTTTTAGTCCAGTCGCCAAGCTACCGACGATCAGGATCCTTTTTACCATTGCTCTTTCTCACAAGTGGTCAGTTCATCAGTTAGATGTTGCAAACGCATTCCTTCACGGAGATATCACCGAAACCGTCTTTATGCGGCAGCCTAAGGGATTCGAAGATTCGGTTCATCCCAACTATGTTTGTCGCCTGAACAAGGCAATTTACGGCCTTCGTCAAGCTCCCCGTCAGTGGTACACTACATTCACAACATTTCTTACTCAACTTGGCTTCACACACAGCCAGGCAGATCCTTCTCTGCTCGTGTTTCATCAAAACAATATCGAGATGTACCTTCTAGTGTACGTCGACGATATCTTACTTACTGGCAACAATTCTCAAGCCTTGACGAAGCTAATGAATCAGCTTAACTCTCGATTCACTATGAAAAACCTGGGCATCGCTCATCAGTTTCTCGGCATCAAGATAGACACTTTTCCAGATAAGTATATTCTATCGCAATTCGTTTACGCAAATTCTATAGTCCAAATGGCCGGGTTGCAAAGCTGTAACTCGGTATCTAACCCGTCTTTTACAAAAATTCCCATTGCAGACTCAGAAGCCGCTGCCTGCTTCGATGCAACTCTGTACCGCAAGCTCATCGGGTCCTTGCAATATCTGACCTTAACTAGACCTGACATAGCGTATGCTGTCAACTCGCTCTCTCAACACATGCACAATCCCTCCGCCTCTCATTCTTCTCAACTCAAGAAACTGCTACGGTACATCAAAGGGACGTTAGAATTTGGCCTACCTATTGTTCGCTCGGACCTTCGGCTTCGCACATTTTCAGACGCGGACTGGGCATCCGATCCTATCTCCCGGAAATCTACTTCTGGATTATGTACATTTCTCGGTGACACTATTGTATCCTGGACCGTGAAAAAGCAAACTACAGTCTCAAGATCTTCTACCGAATCCGAATACCGGGCACTAGCATCGGCAACGGCAGACACCATTTGGATTCGGCGTCTCCTAGCAGATTTTGGCATCAAGCATGACTCACCGGTGGACATTTTTTGTGACAACATGTCTACGATTGCCTTAGCAAACAACCCGGTCTTTCATGCTCGCACTAAGCACATTGAAATAGATGAACGTTTCGTTCGAGATCATATTCAGAAAAATGACATTCGATTGCTACCTATCAGTACGATCGACCAAATTGCCGACATTCTTACCAAACCGCTAACCACTCCCAGATTCAAACTACTACGATCGAAACTTACAATTGTTCTCACTTGTCAGTTTGAGGGGGAATGTTAGCATAGTATACTTATAATAAATAATTACTTAATTCTGTATTAGTTTATTTACGGGTTTACCGGTAATAACTCCAATGTATTAGCTATATATATTCTCATCCCTGTATTCGGCAACAACAAGATAATACAATTTGTTTTCTTTCTATTTCTCTCTGTACATTTTCATCTTCTTCACGGAATGGGATGGTTTGTCGTCGAGATGCTCCTAGCGAAGCCATGTCTGAATCACTGAATGCAATGCAGAGGTCGACCAAGGTTCGAATGTTGCTCATCCCGAGTTGGACGGATTTCGCGAGCAGGACCGGTCAGGCATGTCAAACCACGAGTGGGAACCGATCAGCAACCTACAAGTTAACGATTCTATTCAAAATTCGATTGTCTTGAGTGTGGACTGTGGACTTTGATTTGTCAATGTTGAAATGTAAAGGTTTGAATAAGAATTCTAGATTAAAAGAGAAAATTAGAAACAGGTGTGGAAATTTCTGTACAAATTGTTATGAGCAAAAGGATGAAGCTAAGTGCACTCAAGTTGTCTGTCATAATGCCTCAATGGTCTAGAAAGCAGTTTTATTTCTTTTAAATATAATGAAACAACTGTTTTATTTCTTTAAATCTCATTTATTATAACTATAATTCAATGTAAAAATTAGTTATTACATCACCCGATTTGATCACATTCTTCTATATATATATATATATATATATATATATATATATACCTTTAAACTCAATTGAAGAAAAAATAACTACATAAAATTAAATATTGTTAGTTTTATGTTGAGAAGTTAATTCCTTTAGTTAATACCAGAATGATTATTTTGCGAGCTCAAACAAAGTCAACCAATGAGAAGTTGACCACCTAAATCTAAGTCAAATATCAACCAATCCACAAGTGAAGTTCTTCCCAAACCTATTCATCTCTTCCTCAGGGAGTACCAAACCAATCTCTACTCCTCCCTCCTCCTCTCTGCTCTCAGCCAGAGATATGGCTCTCGTCTCATTAATAGAACTAATCTCAACCTTCGCCGGCCGTCCCCATCCAAAATCAACCTCATAGACCATCAGTTTCGGCGATCCCGCAACTGATAATGACTTCCTCCTCTCATTCTCCAAAAGCCTACCAAACGCCGTCGTTAATACCTCACCAACATCCCTCCCTCGCAATCCATCTATGCTCTTACCTATTTCCATGGCCGCTAGCTCATTCCCGTTCTTCCCCACCAACTCTTTCGTGCTCAACTCTACCATTAAACCGCCCAAGCAGTTCCCAAAATAGTTTCTTGGGAGCGGCGGCCTCATCCTCGATCTCCAATCCACCACACAAACGAAATACTGCTGGCTATCTCCATCGTAAGCGCGAGCTTTCACGAGGCATCTCCATACATAAGCGCAGGTTACAACAAAAGTTGAGATATGAAACAATGGCTTCCCTTCCTCTTCTCCCTTTGCTTGGACTCGCTCTTTTAGCTGTGTAATATGATCTTTACAGAGAGTAAAAGTTGCAGAGACCAAGCTGGGATCAGAAACTGGCAAGGTATCCTGCTTCTTCAAATACTCTTCAAATACCCTTTTGTGTTGGAACATCTTCCGTTGAATCCCGTGGGTGTCAATAATAATGGATCGGTCGAGGAAAGGACGGGAGATTTCATGGAGAGTGGGCTCAGTTGAGCGGCAGGCAGTGGCCCATGATCGGATGAATCCCATCGTTCCTGAACCATCGCACGCAACGTGGTTTATTGCGAAGCAGATGCAGAGGCCTTGGTTCTGGAAAAGGGTGATTTGAATCGATATGGGTGGAAATTGGCCGCAAGATGATGACTTTTTCGGTTTCGGGACCAAAAGACGAAGGTTTTCGAAGTTTCTCGGATGGTAGCCGGAGATGTTGTGGAAGTCCTCGCCGGTGAACTCGGCGATAGTGAGGGTAACAGAGTCACCTTCCTCATATGCAATCTCAAACTGACCGTCGTCAAAATCAGCGGAGGGACGGATGGATCCTGCTAAAGGGTAGAAGTGATGGAGGGTGAGGGAGAGGGTTTTTATGAGGATTGGGAGCTTGTGGTCTATGAAGTGGGAGACGGGGTGAGGGAAGTCGTAGAAGAAAAGCCTCTCTACTAGTACTGAATTTGGGAGCCAGATTGCGTCGAGGAAGGAGAGAGGTTGAGGAGGTTGAGATGGAAGCCATGGAGAAGGAGAAATTTGGCTTTCGTGGAGCACTCTCACAGCAGCTGCCATGGCAAGGCTTGGTTTGCGCGTGGCTTCAGACTTATAATAATTACCAGAGGACGGAGATAAACCAGCTGATATCTAAATAGTTGCTGCTGACTTGCTTTGTTAAAGGGCAGTGGCAACTTGCCCTAACCAATCATTTTATTAATTTAATTAATAATATTTTTTTTTATTTCGAAAGTCAAAATAAAAAACAAAGAGCCAAACGACAAAGATGCGGCAAAAAATGTTTTATTTGTTGTTTTATTTGAATCAATAATAAAAAAGTTTGATTCGTTGTAGTTTTAAATTTTTAATGTGATGAATAAATAAACGAATAATGAAAAATATTATTATCTCTGAATTTTGATTATATCTACAATTTAGTTTGATTTAATTCATTTGATAAAACTATCAACCAATTCATCTTGATAGATTGAACGAACGCCCATTTATTAAGATTTTGAGTTTCAATTAAATCAAAATTAATCTATACTGTCGTTCGATTTGATTCTTCACGTATTATATGGTCCGTTTGGTTCCGCCCATAATTCAGTTCAATATAATTGGTTCAACAAAATCGTCAACTCAATTCATTCGAGTCAATTGAATGCCCACCCCTAATACCCTACCAACAATGCATGTTATGACATTTGTGTTGATGCATGCACATATTCTTTCTAACTAGACTTAGCTAAGAAACCTAAACTCTTTAGCTTTATGATAATTGTCATGCCCTCAGCATCTAAGGCTTCATTTGCTATATATATGCATTCTTAGTGCTTATTAAAACAGCTTTTTAGTACAATAATTAAATTTTTTTTATTAAAAATATGCTTTAAGAAACAGTAAGAAAACCGTCTAAAACAAAGCCTAAATCATAACTCGAACACCTAAGCCATAAATAGAGAGGAAGTCAATCCTCGCATAGAGTCATTCAAACCAATTTACCCATCATAGGTTCATTGCTGAGAAGATTATTGTTTCCATTGGGACAATTTTGTTATTATTTTTCTTAAATGATTTTTTAGTATTTTTTTTTCTAATTCAATAAAAAAACTGTGAAAAAAAAATTGTCTCAAATAAAGCCTAAATTTCAATGAACATGCTAAAATTAAAAAAACTAAGGGACTTTTGGGATCATTTTTATTTTTTTAGCTTAGAAAAGCATTATTTTTGTTTATATATGTAGCAGCGACGATCATTGTTGGGGCAGCTGCAACGGTCGATGAGACAATAATGATAATGGTGGCCACAGTGTTATAATTTCATATAAATAATATTTACAAAAAAATAATTCAAAATATCTAAAAAATGATATGAATGTTTTACTAATATATTTGATTGATTTAAAAAAATATATATGTATAAAAGCTATAAATAAATAAATAAATAACTTGAAGATACAGATCGCCAACCACATAATTCTAATTCTTTAAGAAAATGATCAAAATGATCGATATTATATGTAGAATTTGTTCTAAGAAAATGATCCACAACTATAGCATTTGCAATATAGACAATTAAGACAAATGAGAATGGCATTAGTCGACATTATGTTGCAAGCCAGCTAAAAATGTATAGTGAATCTTAATTGTGCTTTTACTGCACAGACTCACAAAAATTGGATGGTTCTCCGGTCCAGACTCTGCATGTAATAATCCCTCTGTTTTTTTTACAACAGTATCTTTATCATTATTTTATTTAAAATTGATTATAAACTTCTATAGTACTCAAGTCCCAATTTTTCCAAATGGGAGAGAGAGAGAGAAATGAAATGAGGGAGGCAGTTAGATCTAGGGTAAATTAAGATAGGTATTGATAAAAGATATTTGTTTTGGTTTTTTTATTTATAATAATAATGATAATAATAACTATTATTAATATAAATAAACAATTTAATTAGAAAATTGATAATTTTTTTAATTAGAATATTTATCATTATTTTGTTAAAAGAACAATTTCAGCTATGTAAAATAAAATTTCATCTGAGAATTATTATCAATATTTTGATCTTGATAGACTTCAAAACTCTTTGATATACTTTAAAATAATGAGTGTAATAGATAGATAAATAATATTACACAAATCTAAAAATAAATTTAAAATTTTGAGACCCATCCTGACAACTTTTTGATAAGTATATCCTATAATTATAATTTTACAACTTTATATTATTCTTTAATAAAAATTTGATTTCCCATCCGTTTGCTGCATATTCCCACTACTAATGACTATCATTTTTAAAAAAATTAAAGATTATCAAAATAAATATTAACAATGACTATCATTTTTAAACAACATATTATTATTTTTAATAACTTATATCATTTAAAGTATTAAAACAAAAAAAGAAAATTGTACTATTTTCGCTATTTTAAAAAAAAAATCTTTATTTTCAATAATTATAACTATTTTTAATAATTATTATACAGTGATCCAACAACCGTTAAAGGCCCACAAGTCGCTAACTCCGCATATAATCACCTTACCATACCAAATCTCCAACCTTCACCTCCCCCACATAAGTATACATTATTTTTCATGTAAAAACTCTGTTATCCTTACAATTCATGTACTTCTTATTTATCTGTATGTGTTGGTGCTTCGTGCAAAACTAAGACGTTAAAATTTTTATCTCTCTACCCCCGTAAACTTTTTGTCTTGCAACAACCGCCTTACTTGTTCAGCAAATCAAATAGCTCCTAAATGAATAATCATAATGGAGAATTTTTTAAAAGACTAAAAAAAAAAACATAAAGATCACATGTGTTAACATTGGATCCATGTGCAATGAATCTTATAATGGGGTCATGTTAGTGTTCATGTCCTTCGATGAGCATCCGATGCCTAATTGTGTTTGATATTGATTACTCTCATCGGCATAGGATTTAAATATATGCTGAATTAAAATAATTAAAATTAAATCATCATTATCACAACATAAATTACATTGATTAATTGATTTATATACATATAGCATTATTGATTTACTAAAGCTTGAGATTTTAATTTTCTCATTCTTTTGTTTTGAGATCTTCTTTTTTTTTTTTTTTCCTACTCACCCAAAACTTAGATAAATTTGGATCATACACTAATTATTTAAATTTTTTTTGTTGGTTTCAATTAATAATCTTATTTCAATATAAAATTTATCAAAATTTACATATACTTTTTTTTTATATTTAAAGTTGGCTTAAATTAAATGTATGGATGGCTGCCTCCATTCCATTTTTACTACCATGTACGTATTCATATATTTCTTACTTTTTCATCCACACTAACTACTCAAAGAGGTTCAGGTAAATTCTAAGGGCATAGAAAAAACTTAGAAAATTTAGAAATGAGGTAACTGGAGCATTCTTAGAGCATCTCCAACCGAAAATCTCATTTTTCACTCCAAAATGTCGTGATTCATCTCCAATCGAACGCCATTTTTCAACCTTTTGTAGTTAACGATCGCCTCTTCTTTCCCGCGGCAAGTTCGGTAGAAAGGTAAAAATGACAGAGATGAACAGTGCAACGCCAATATTGGCGTCCCACTGTTCACCCGCAGCCAAATAGCGGAAATTTTGCAGTTCGGCTAGAGCAAGCCAGGAGTGCCATTCAAGCGTTTGGAGTTCGATTGGAGATGCCCTTAGGTAGATATCAATAGGATTAATTATTTTATGCGGACGTTGAACGTCGTTTTGAGACCAATCAGAATGCTCCGCATCGCCCCTTCGCTCGATATCGTTGATATGACGCATTCTGATTGATCTCTCAACAACGATCTGCATCCGGCCTCTGCCTAGAATAATTTCTGGTAGAACATAGAGAATGAAGAAGCTGATTATCAAAACTTCACTTAAAGATGTCTAGCAAATCATTCGCAAAGTTTGTTCCAAACTTAGTCATTAGCTCCTCTGCGAGTACCAAACCAATCTCCATTCCTCCCTCTTCTTTGCTCTCAGCCAGAGACATGGCTCCTGTCTCCACAATAGAAGTAATCTCCACCTTCAATGGCCTCCCCCACCCAAAATCAACCTCGTAAACCCTCAGCTTCGGAGATCCAGCAACCGACAAAGGTCCGCTAATCGCTAACTCCGCGTATCTATCTATCGTCTCTTCCAATCCCTTACCAACGTCCGTCCCCTGCAACCCATCTATGCTCTTACCTATCACCATTGTCGCCACCTGAATCCCCTCCTTCCCTACCAAATCCCCGGCCTTTACCTCCCCCACACAAGCCCCTAAGCAATTCCCAAAGTAATTGCTCGGGAACGGCGACTTCATCCTCCTTCTCCAATCCACAGCGCACCCGAAGTACTGCTTGACATCTCCGCCATATCCCCGAGCTTTCACAAGACATCTCCATACGTAAGCACAAGTTACAACAAATGTTGATATGTGAAACGATGGCTTCTCTTCTTCCTCTCCTTTCGCTTTCACAAGCTCTTTCAATCGGTCAATTTTATCTTTACCAAGAGTAAAAGTAGCAGAAACCAAGCTAGGATCGGAATCTGGCAAGCTGCCCTGTTTCATGAAATATTCTTCGAGTTGCTCTTTGTGTTGACACATTCTCCTGAATATTTTCCGACGTATTCCGTAGGTATCCACAATAATGGATCGGTCGAGGAAAGGAGAGGAGATGGGTTTCATCGAGCGGCAAGCAGCGGCCCACGATCGAATGAATTGCATCGAGAAATCCTTCTTGCAGGTATCGTCTTCCGTCGATCCACTACATCACAGCGGCCCACGATCGAATGAATTGCATCGATCCGAATCCGTCACAAGCAGCGTGATTTATTGCGAATCCGACGCAAAAGCCTTGGTTCGAGAAGAGCGTGATTTGAATTGAGATGGGCGGAAGTTGGCCTATATTAGAGAAATTTGCTGGTTTTTTCGGGACCAGAAGATGCAGGTTTTTGAAGCTTCGTGGGTGGTGGCCGGAGCCCGGAGATGTTGCGGAAGTTGTCGCCGATGAACTCGGCGACGGTGATAGTGACGGAATCGCCTTCCTCGTAGGCAATCTCGAATTGGTATAGGGAGTCAGGGGAGGGGCGGATGGATCCTGCTAAAGGGTAGAAGTGGTAAAGGGTGACGGAAAGGGATTTGGTGAAGATGGGGAGCTCGTGGTCTATGAAATGGGAGATGGGATGAAGACATTCGTAGAAGAAAAGCCTCTCAACCGGACCTGAGCTTTGCAGCCACATAGCGTCAAGGAAGGAGAGAGGTTGCGGGGGCTGAGAAGGAAGTGAGGGAGAGGGAGATATCTGGATTTCGTGGAGAACTTTTACGGCAGCCATGGCAAAGCTGGGTTTGGCTGAGAAAGGAGATAAGTATCTAGTAGTTGGCTGAGGAAGGAGAAACGTCGTAGTTCTTCTACAATGGAGTCTTTGCTTTCAGTAATATGCAATCATGAAGAAGTACGCAATTTGCTTTAGCCAGTCTTCTATTTTTCCTATTATTTAGAAAGATTATTTTGTTATTATTATTATTTTTTAATTAAATCACGGAATATAAACTAATATTTTCAACAACAACAACATCAAGCCTTTATCCCACTACGTGGGGTCGGCTACATGAATCCTTTTTCTCCATTGTGTTCTATTAAAAGTCAAATTCTCGTTTAAATCTAATAAAGAAAGGTCATTCCTAATATTTTCTAACCAAGTCTTTTTAGGTCTACCCCTACCTTTCTTAACATAAGTCAAATCTAATACCTCTACTCTCCTAATCGGGTCATCGCAAGGCCACCGTTTTATGTGAAAATATAAACTAATATTTTCAAAGGACAAAATTTTAAAAATTTAAAGTTAAAAAAAATTATTGGTTAATGGTTTACTTGACTAAATTGTAATAGTATTTTTTTTTAAAAGAACCGAATTTTAAATTGGAAGAATAAAAGGTTCATGCCTTAAAAATTTTATCCGAGTTAGGTGGTTGAATGATAGGCCATAATAAATATTTAAAATTCTAAAATATATGAGGAAAAATTAAAAATATATTTTAAAACTTTAGAATTGATTTGTTACAAATAATCTATTAGATCAAGTATGTGTTTGGAGATAATATTTGAATTTAATTAGAAAAAAAAATTAACACTTTTCATCCTTAAATTTCAACAAAGTTATGTCCAGACTGATAGGTCTCAATAAGATAAATTCAATGACAACAAAAGTGATTTGATTAGAATCTAAATGAACCAAATTCAAATATTTTGAATAAATTTGAGAGCTTTGGGACATTAATTGATGGGGTAAATGCATTTGGTATCATGCATGATTATAGTCGATAAATTGAGCGTCTAAACGAGCGAAATCCAAAGAACTTAAAATCACTTATTTTTGAAGTAATTAAGACAATTAAATTTTGAATAAATTGTCAATAATCAAAGAATTCAATTTGGGAAGTTTGGCATAATGTTATTAAATTTTGTTCAAAATTATCAAAATATTAATCTAAAAAATTAAAAACAGGCCCCCATCCTTTATATGAAGGGGACCAAGACTTTAGATTTGAGAGAGCTTCGAGATATGAAGAGCATTAGAGCTCTACCGTATGTTTGATACTGAGGATCATTGCTATCTGACGCCATCATCTAATTGCTAATGTCCTACTTCCATCGTGTAAGAACCATAACTCGAGCATCTTAATTTGACTACCAATGATGGACTACTATAGTGCACTCCCCATCATTTGATGATTATTATATGGTTGTTATCACCTGACAACAACGCCCAATTTCATTATGTGACCATTGTTGGCAGAGATACTACCATTAAGCAACTAAATCATTGGACAATCTTCAACATCCCTACAATAGTTTTTTTTTTTTCCATAATCTCTATTATAGCACGTAATAATTTGACGTCATATGTGAAAAATGACACCCCAATATCCTAGTAATATTAGTTCTAGGACTAATAAGAAAAATACCAACAACCATGTATTTTCTCATACTAGGACTATGCCTAGTATACCTAATTTAATCTCTCTCTCTCTCTCTCTCTCTGTCTGTCTAACACCTAGTGATAAGTTTCTGTTAAAACTAATTTGAGTGAAGTGAATATTAATATAGTTATATAATTTAATCAGTTTTCAATAAAAAAATTTATATAATTTTTTTAGGGCTACCAAAATTTAAAAAATATCCTAAAAACAATCCATTTTATTTATAAAATTTTAATAAAATCGATTTGCAAAACGAACATCTGACGATTCCAAACCTTCACTTGTACTGATCGATGTTAATTTCTTAAGGATTTACCCCAATATCTAAAAATTATGATTTAGATTTATAACGACTCTTAAAAAAAAAAATTTGACGAAATTAATACATACTCTCTCTTGTCACACCATTTATACTTTTATCTATCTTGTCAGACCTTTTGGCAAATAATGTATATTAATTGAGAGATCATCAAGAGTCCCAACTTTTTAGGATTTGCAAAAATAAGGGAATGACATTATTGAAAAAAGGAATTAGAGGCTCGTCAAATCCCTCGAGTAGATTTTGAATTATTATAAGGAATTTTTTCACGACTTCGACTTGGATTTTTTAACTCCTTGTTGGATCAAGAGAAAATCCACTCAAGTATAAGCATAAAATAGGTAATGAATTTATTAGTGCACATAAAAAAATAGTTCAAATAAATATTTTGAAAAATGGAAGAATTTTGAAGATGGTGTTGCATAAACATCTCAAAGATGAAAGAATGAGAATTAAAAGGATTTAAAATGTCATTTACATAAAATTCAACATGTGCCATCTAATTACAACATTAAACATACCATGGCTAATATTTTAATGGATCTATATGGCCTCAACATTCATAATCCCATATAAAATTAGTGGATCTATATGGCCTCAACATTCTCCTTAGAATTTTAGACATATCATTACACCAAGAAAATTTAATTTTCTGTTTTTTCTTGCATTAGCTGACTTGTTCTTCAAGCTTTATAATGAGTTGATGAGCAACTTTTAAGGCTTCATTTGGAGCGACTTTCTTATTGTTTCTATTTTTAAATTAGAAAGCTACTTTAAGAAGTCGTAAGAAGGCCGTCCCAAATGAAGCCTAAATCTTATATTTTCTTCTCAAACATGGAAGTCACAATAGCAAGAGTTGTCTCTTTCTAGTATATCTCATCCTTCATGTTCTTTTCCAACGACTCAGCTACTGCTATATATCCTTATTCTCTCTTCTCGCAAAAACTTAGGCTTTGTTTGGGATGGTTTTCTTTCTGCTTCTTAAACAGTTTTCTAGTACAAAATCAAAAAAAAAAAATGTACTAAAAAGTTGATTTAAGAAGCATAAAGAAAACCGTCCCAAATGCAGCCTTACTCAAGTAGGTGACCTTATTTTCCAATAATTTTACTATCACTTTCGATTTTATTTATTTAGGAAAGATCTTCTTATTGTTGTATCCCGTATTTAATTGAACTTCTAATTGGCTGCCTTCACCTTCATCATACCTTAAATACAATACCAATCACGATTCATATATGCATTGAGATTCATGCCCTACCAAAAAAAAAAAAAAAATTCTTTTGGCATTCTAAATTATTTTTCTCATTTTATAGAAAAAACAAAAAAAAATATCAATCATTCCTTAAATGAAAATATCTTATACATAGATCTCATGTAGGTCTACTAATCTATATTGCTCCTTATTCAGCAAGAGACCAATTTGAAAATGGAGAGAAAGTCAGAAAGAAGAAACTGATAACCAAACTTCACTTAAAGATCTCTAGCAAATCTGTAGCAAAGTTCGTTCCAAACTTATTCATCTCCTTCTCAGAAAGTACCAATCCAATCTCTATTCCTCCCTCCTCCTTTCTGCTCTCAGCAAGAGACATAGCCCCCGTCTCAATAATCGAAGTGATATCCGCCTTCACCGGCCTCCCCCACCCAAAATCAACATCGTAAACCCTCAGCTTCGGTGATCCAGCGACCGTTAATCGCTTGCTCCTCGCTGGTTCCCAATGTCTATCGAACGTCGCCATTAATGCCTCACCAACATCCCTCCCTTGCAACCCATCTATGCTCTTGGTTATCTCCATGGCCGCCAACTCATTCCCGTTCTTCTGCACCAGCTCTCTTGCATTCAACTCAACCACACAAGATCCCAAGCAGTTCCCAAAGTAGTTGCTTGGGATCGACGGCTTCATCCTCGATCTCCAATCCACCGGAAAGATTAAATATTGCTTGATATCTCCATCGTAAGCCTGTGCTTTCACAAAGCATCTCCATACATAAGCGCAGGTTACAACGAAAGCCGAGATATGAAACAATGGCTTCCCTTCCTCCACTCCCTTTGCTTGCACACACTCTTTCAGTCTCGCAATTTGATCTTTACTGAGAGTAAAAGTTGCAGAGACCAAGTTAGGATCAGAAACTAGTAAGCTGTCCTGCTTCTCCGAGGATTTTTTAAATACCCCTCTGTACTGATGCATCGTTTCGAGTATTCTCCTTCGTATTCCGCGGGTATCGATAATGGAGGATCGGTCAAGGAATGGAGGGGATATCTCATTGAGAACGGATTCAGTAGAGCGGCAGGCAGCGGCCCACGACCTGAAGAATAGAATCGATCCAGATCCATCGCAGATGGCGTGATTTATTGCGAAGCCCAAGCAGACGCCTTGGTTCGGAAAAAGGGTGATTTGAATCAAGATGGGCGGAAATTGGCCGCTCGATGACGACTTTGCTGGTTTTGGGACCAGAAGTCGAAGGTTTTCTATGCTTCGGGGGTGGTGGCCGGACATGTTGTGGAATTCATCGCCGATAAACTCAGCAACAGTGACGGTGACGGAGTCGCCTTCCTCGTAGGCAATCTCGAACTGGTCATCGGAATCAGGGGAGGGACGGATGGATCCTGCTAAGGGATAAAAGTGGTGGAGGGTGAGGGAGAGGGATTTGGTGAGGATGGGGAGGTTTTGGTGTATGAAGTGGGAGGTGGGGTGAGGAAAGTCGTAGAAGAAAAGCCTCTCTGACATTGCTGAACCTCGTAGCCATATTGCGTCGATGAAGGAGAGACGTTGAGGAGGTTGAGATGGAAGCCGTGGAGAAGGAGAAATTTGGCTTTGGTGAAGAACTCTCACAGCTGCCATGGCTGAAGGACGGAGCTAACTATCTTATACATAAATAATTGCTTTCCGAAAGAGCAGACACTTTTTTTTGGGGAAAAAGAGCAGACACTCTGACGAACAATTATTACGTCCTCTGACGGGACGCAGGGAGCCTAAATCCCGCCAAAAAACGAATTATACCGAGTAAATACCGAGCAATACCAAACAATAACGAGGAATACCATCATTTGAAGACCCAATTCCGAGTTATACCGAGCTAAATCGAGAAATACCGAGTTATACAAAAGTTGTACCGAGTTTTTCTCTTTCTCGGTACAGCTCGGTATAACTCGGTATTGGTCTTCAAAGAACGGTATTTCTCGTTAATATCAAATAATACCTAGTTGTACCAAGCAAATACCGGGTTTTTTGGCGGGATTTTACCTCCAACCGGACGTTCCTCTACGTCCTTACACTGGACGTAATAAAAGTTCCACTCATACAGGCAACTTGCTCTAACAAATACCTTTTTTTTTTTAATAAGATTTAGATTAATTTAAGACAAATTCATGCTCACATCAAATATGCAAGATATTATGTAAAGACCTCTTAATTAGTAACTAAGATTTTATTCGAGACAATTTTTTGATTGCTTCTTAAAGCACCTTTTTAGTGTAAAATTTTTTAATTTTTTAACTAAAAAATTATTTTAAAAAGCAAAAAAAAAAAGGATCCAAATAAAGCCTAAAACTCTAAACCAACCTACTAAGGGCATCTCCAACTAAACTCCAAATGTTTGAATGGCATTGCTGCAGAGCTCCACCAGAACTGTAAAAATTCCGCAGAGCTCCACCAGAACTGTAAAAATTCCGCTATTTGCTTGAGGGTGAACAGTGGGACGTCAATATTGGCGTTGCACTGGTCATCCCCACTAATTTTCTCTCTCTACCTAACTTGCCGAAGAAACGCGCGAAAAGAAGAAAGAAGGTTACCTTCTCAAATTTGGAGTTCGATTGGATGAATCACGGCATTTTTTTAGTTTCACACCATTTTGAAGTGAAAAATGAGATTTTTCGGTTCGAGATGGTCTAAAGCTTTATTTGGGTTGACTTTCTTGTTATTTTTTTAAACATTTTTTAAATAAAAAATTTTTAAATTGAGTGGGATCATTTTTAATTTTATTTTTTAATAAAAAATTATTTCAAAAGTCAAGATATAAATAGTATTGTCAAATGTAGAAGGGGCGGCAAAAATTGTTTTACTTGTTGTTTTATTAGAATTAAAAAAATGTATATTATAATCTACCTTATTCATTGACCGAAGGTATATTAAAAACAATTAGAAATAAATATATATGTAAAAATGGCAAAATATATGTCATCAGAGCAAAATAATTTTATTAACGGGCTATTTTGTTTCAAGAAAAATGGATGTAAAATATATCAAATGCAAGAGTTTTAAAAATATGGATGTTTGATTTGAAATAAAAGAAATGGATAGTAAAATTTTGAATGTTATTTGAAACATTTTTTAAATAAAAAATTTTTAAATTGAGTGGGATCATTTTTAATTTTATTTTTTAATAAAAAATTATTTCAAAAGTCAAGATATAAATAGTATTGTCAAATGTAGAAGGGGCGGCAAAATTGTCTTACTTGTTGTTTTATTAGAATTAAAAAAATGTATATTATAATCTACCTTATTCATTGACCGAAGGTATATTAAAAACAATTAGAAATAAATATATATGTAAAAATGGCAAAATATATGTCATCAGAGCAAAATAATTTTATTAACGGGCTATTTTGTTTCAAGAAAAATGGATGTAAAATATATCAAATGCAAGAGTTTTAAAAATATGGATGTTTGATTTGAAATAAAAGAAATGGATAGTAAAATTTTGAAGCATTTGTAATTAGAGATCTAATTGAATTTTGATGTATTTAAAAATCATTAAATATGATCGAGTTCCAAATTTACTTTAATATGTTTGAGATTGCCGACCTAACTGACGTTTTTTTCCAATCGAACCCTCCACTGCTCGCCGTCGCCATCATTATTGATCGCCAGTTCTTTATGCTATATTTATTTTAATTCAAAGAAAAAAAAAACACAATGACCTTCAATTATTTTATACTCATACAAACAACTCTAAAATATTTAAAATATATTACATTTCTATTATATTATATTCCTCATATATCATCAAAAATCTCATTGATCGAACATGAATCTTGATGGATATTTGAATTAATAACTTCCAAAATAAAATTTAGGGCCATCCAAACTCCGATTTCATCAAACTTATAGTTGAACTGCATGTCTTGATGAGATGAATCCAACGACAATAAAAATCATCCAATCGGAGTCTAAATAAGCTGAAATCGTCCACTTGAAGTATGGTCAAAAACATTGGAATATTGATTGGAGAACTAAATAATCTCCAAATTTGATATGCTAAAGTTGAATCGAGTATCTTAACAGGGCAAATCCAAAGAGCTCAAGATCACTTAATTTTCACATCGTTAAATTAATCAAATTTTAAATGAATGCACCAGGATAAAAAAAGATCAATGAAGTGCTTTAGATTTTAGGCATGTTTGTCTATATAATATATAAATAGACTCTCACTATCTACATGAAGGAGAGAGCCTAAAACTTAAAGTTTGAGTTTGAATTTTAGCTTGAGATTCTAGATAGCACTCAGGCTCTAAGAATCCCGAACCACCACTTGAGCAACACTACTAGGCCATTGTTCTAAGTGTCGTCGATCCTTCGTCGAGCAACCACTACTATCCTTGGATCATCATCGCATAACTGTAATCTTTCCGACCATTGTCACTAGTCAAATAAAGTCCTTCCAACCTTTGTTGCCTTCCTACAATAGTAGTCCAACCTTCATTACCCGTCGACAATAGTTTTCAGAGCTTTGTCACCCTCCAACTACAATCCTCCTATCATTGTTGTCCAAATATGGTTCTTTCGATTACTCTCGTCTGACTATAATCTTCTGACCTTCATCGCCTAATTATGGTCATGCAGACATCTTCGTCGGATTACAGTCCTTCCGCCCTTCGTTGCCCGACCACAGTCATTTTGACCACTATCGCCTGGCTACTCTAGCGGCAACCTCATCACCTAAAATCGTTAATAATATCAACGCATATCATCACTTACAAAATCGATGCACGCTTTCAACATTAAATTTAAATCTCAACTTTCGCAGTAGGATTTATGTTGGATTTTTGCAACAAGGCTATTCCTACTTCAACCAAGTAATATATCATTTATAGTTTATTCATGCCCTCCCTCAAGGAAAGGCCTCATTTGTAATCAAATATAAAATACTCGATGAACCATTTTAGCTATGTCAGATCCCATAATTTTTCCTTTCTTGAGTTTTCCATATAAAAACTCCGCACTCCTATTTTATCTGTATTTGTGCTGAGTAATAATGTAAAATTATGATGTTAAACTCTATATATCTTTATGCTATTACAAACATGCAACATTTTCATTAATTTTTCAGCTAATCAAATAGCTTCTAAGTAATCATAATTTGAGAATATTTTAAATAATAAATTAAAAAATAATAATAATAAGGATAAATATCACTTGAGTTGACATTGGGTCCATGTAGGGGTGTCAATTGCAACGGTTCTTACAATGGAGATATTTCAGTGCATGTGAACCAAATGTTTGACGAGCTACTCGTTGTTCGATTCAATTAAAACTCGTTTGTGATCGATTAATAACTAAGCAAACAAACTTGAAATATTTTAAATATTTGATTCTTAAATAAACAAACTTGAACACTAATGCGTTCGGCTCATTTATGTTTGCGAACAACATCATTTGAAGTTCGTGAACAAGCTCGACATTAAGCTTAAACAAACGAACATGAACCGAACATGAACACTCATTAATTTAAATAAACCAAACATGAACACAAACAATAAAGCTCGAACAAACATGAACCAAACTTGAACAAGCTGATATTAAATGAACACAAACATGAACACTCACATACTCGGCTTGGTTCGTTTGCAGCCCTAGATTCATATGCTTCCAAGAGCATCCTGCCTAAATGTGTTTAATATATATAGATTAGTGGAGTTATATATATGCATAAAAAATTAAAAACTGCATGATGGAAGAATAGGACAATATTTAAAATCAAACCAAATCGTATAAATTAAATTAAATCATCATTATCACAACATAAACTACATCAAAGGATTGATTCCTCAAGTTGGATCTTAACTGTAGTTGGCAAGCCACGGATACACAACAACAATTTTCAAGGACTGAACATCTCAAGAGGATAGAGACCAATACTTTGGACTTGGTGAAGTCTCTACTAGCGATTATCATGATCCGAAGGAATTTGCACTTTGCACTTAACGACCTAAGAGCTGAGCCTAAAACGATCGTAGGTCTTTGCACCCATAAACTTCAAACACACCCAAAACACTCGTGCCATACTAACTCACCTGCGAAGACTCGTCTTGGGGATTCGCCTTGCAAAAGTGAGGATGAGAGACTATTCATATATGCGACTAATATTGCTTATCATGCATATAGAAGACCAATTTGGAAATGAACATTATGTTCTTTTTACCTTTAATTTGATTTTATCTATGTACTAAAAAACATGGAGCAAAAGTAAAATCTCATTACCAAAATTTTACTTAAAAGATGTCTAACGAAGGAGAGATTATTCTGCGCGGACACCAAACACATCTTAACGTTCAGAGGCGAATCAGGTGCATCCACGTTATCCAATACCGAACAGTACCGAATAAGAGGTGATGTGACGCATTTTCATCTGCACAAAATAATTCATCCTAACAAACTCGTTGCAAAGTTTGTTTCAAACATAGTCATCATCTCCTCAGGAAGTACCAAACCAATCTCCATTCCTCCTGCCTCCTCTCTGTTCTCAACCAGAGAGATGGCTCTCGTCCCACCAATAGAAGTAATATCCACCTTCACTGGCCTCCCCCACCCAAAATCAACCTCATAAACCCTAAACTTTGGCGATCCAGCAACCGACAACCGCCTGCTCCGCGCTGGTTCCCAATGCCTATCAATCACCGCTATTAATGCCTCATAAACATCCTTTCCTTGCAACGCGTCTATGCTCTTACTTATCTCCATGGCCGCCACCTCATTCCCATTCTTCTCCACCAGCACTCTTGAGTTCACCTCCGCCATACAAACCCCCAAGCAATTCCCAAAGTAGTTGCTTGGGATCGACGGCCTCATCCTCGCTCTCCAATCCACAGCGCAAACAAAATACTGTTTGATATCTCCGTCAGAAGCCTGAGCTTTCACGAGGCATCTCCATGCATAAGCACAAGTTACAGCAAAAGCTGAGATATGTAATGATGGCTTCCCTTCTTCCACTCTCTTCGCTTGCACCCGCTCTTTCAACAGCCCAATCTGATCTTTATTGAGAGTAAAAGTTGCAAAGACCAAGTTAGAATCGGAAATGGATAAACTGCTCTGCTTCTCCAAACACTTTCCACTTGCCCCTTTGTACTTGCGCATCATCTCAAATATTTTCCTGCATATTCCGTGGGTATTGATAATAACAGATCTGTCGAGGAATGGAGGGGAGATGTCGTCAAGGGTAGGTTCAGTACAGCGGCAGGCAGCGGCCCACGACCGGATGAATTGCATCAATCCAGATCCATCGCATGCAGCGTGGTGTATTGCGAAGCCAATGCAGAGACCTTGATTCGGGAAAATGGTGATTTGAATCGAAATGAGGGGAAATTGTCCACCACCTAAGGATGTCTTTGTAAGTTTTGGGACCAGAAGACGAAGGTTTTTGAAGTTTTTGGAATGGTGGCCGGAGATGTTGCGGAATTCATCGCCAATGAACTCGACAATGGTGATGGTGACAGAGTCATCTTCCTCACAGGTGATCTCGAATTGGTTGTCGTAATTAGGGGAGGGGCGAATGGATCCTGCTAATGGGTAGAAGTGGCGGAGGGTGAGGGAGAGGGAATTGGTGAGGATGGGGAGGTTGTGGTCTATGAAGTGGAAGAGGGGGTGAGGAAAGTCATAGAAGAAAAGCCTTTCTACCGGCGTTGAGCTTTGCAGCCACATAGCATCAAGGAAGGAGAGAGGTTGAGGAGGTTGAGCTGGAAGTGATGGAGAAGAAGAAATTTGAATTTCTTGGATTACTCTCACAGCAGCCATGACAAGTCTAGTTTTGCCCGCATCTTTAGGCTACAATACTTTCTTCTAAAACTCCGTCGATGTCAAGACAAATCTTACCGACCATTCTTTGAATAAAAAATGTCACTCCCTGTTATCGATCTGCACAAGAAGTTAAGAGAGAAATTTTAGATATTTGAAGAAATTTAAAGCTTTGATTGACATTTTACTATAATATCTCCATCAGTCATCAACTCGTCATCTTCTAAAATGTTATATCTATGTGTTCATGTTCCTGCTCAATGTCATACATATATATATGGATGTGTATTTATGTTTATATACGGAAGTTTCGATGTGGGAAATGTTGTAGTGAATTATATGGGTCCAAATTTCGGTTATGTTCTATTTCTGATTTTGACCCTTCTGCTTTATGTGGATGTAGAAGGTTATTGCTTACGGTAAGACGAGTAGGTTATGCAAATATGCTCTTCTAGCATGGCAGGAACACTTAAGTACCCGTACACATCTCAGTGCCAGCGGGGAAACCAATTGCATGTTTACAAACAGGTACCTCGAAGACCTATATACGCTCTCGTAATGTAGTGGGATTAAATAAAGATGATCACGATGTCGACCGACACCTATCATACACACTCTCATAGCATGGTGAGAAGCTCTAGCTCCTTAAACCTCTCCCAAATGGGGAAGACGCTGGGAGGCTACTAAAATTTTGACTAGTAGATAACATAAACTTGAATAATTGCACAGAACAAGACTTAAATTAATCAAAAGGAAACATAACCTAAATTCAAATTCTAAAATTTGAATCTAAAAAAAAAAAGATAAATATATTTGTAGTGAACAAAACAAGTATCATATGAATATGAATACGCTACAGCAATGATTATAATAACTCGCCTACGAGCATGTGAAGAAGGCATGAAATGAACATGTGATGTTAATGATAGTTCACTTACAACCCATGTATGAGTAAAGAACAATAATATAATATCTGTAATAAGTGTTGTTGCGGGCTAGAATATACGCGGCGATAGAATTTTAATTATACGTCTTAGTTTTGCGCGGATATCCAGCTCACACACAGGGAACACAATATTTTTACGTGGAAAACCCTTGAAAGGGGAAAAACCACGGTGTCTAGCTCAGTTGAAAATGATTCAACTAGAATTTGAGTTAGTTACAATGGGCTGACTCGCCTCCGAGGGCGATCAGATTACAAGTAACAATTGTACAATAGAAGTCCGGGTGTCTGGCGATGATCTGGCAGAACTTCGGACCTTAGATGATAGTTTAGCAGAACTCCGGGCCTTAGATGATGGTCTGGTAGAACTCCGGGCCTTAGATGATGGTCTGACAGAACTCCGAGCCTTAGGTGATGATCTGGCGAAGGAGAAGGCCTCTGGCGGTAGTCCGGTAAAGGTGAGGGCCTCCGGCGGTGGTCCGGGGAAGGTGAGGTCCTCCGGTGGTGGTCCGGTAAAGGTGAGGGCCTCCAGCGGTGGTCCGACGAAGGTGAGGGCCTCCGGTGGTGGTCCGGCGAAGGTGAGTGCCTGAGATGGTGGTCTGGCGAAGGAGAGGGCCTTAGGTGGTGGTCCGGCGAAGGTGCGGTGGTGGTCCGGCAAGACTCCGGCGGTGGTCCAGTGAAACTTCATTGGTGGTCGAGGAGGAGCTTCTTCCTTCTCTCTTCTCTTCTTCTCTTATTCTCTCTCTTGGTTGGGTCCCTTTTCAAGAGAAATGAGGGGTCTATTTATAGATTTCTGGAGAGGCATAGCACCTAAATAGGTGAGAGATCAAGGGTAAATGAGGAGTGGTTGGATGGACGGCTGATATTGAATCCCTGATCAAGGACCGTTTTTCAGGCATTTGAAGGCCTTAATGATTTTGGAATTCAGTGATCTTGGGCTTGTTGGATTTGTCTCGTTGAGCCGCTCGATTCGACTATAAGATCATCATATTTGGAAATTGTTTGGTAACTCAAATAGTGGTATGAAGCTTCCAATAGTGCTTCGGGTCCTTGATTTGGGCTCATTTGGGCTCGGATTGAGTCAAATTTGGTGTCGTTGGGTTCGTATTTCCGAGACGCTCAGTTTGACTATAAGTTTGCTGAAATCGGAGTTCAGGTGATCACAGATTTAATTTTTGAAGTTTCCGGCATGCTTTTACGTCGAGATTAGTGCCCGATCAAGATAATGTTTTGATGACATATCAAGTGTGATAATCCACTTATTAAAGGAGTGTGATGCTCCACTTATTGAAGAAGAGTAGATACATGTGATGAATATATCAGTCAATTTACATGCTCGTAATGCATACAACATGCTATCCACTGGCTAAAAGCAAAAGGGTACAATTGATGTAGGCCTGGAGAGTGAGTCACCACGATATCGGTACAGTACTCATGACTGATTTTCCACTTATTTGAAGAACTACGCTTGTCTTGAACTCTTGGGTGGTACGTAGAAAACCATCTGAGTGCAGTCATTCTGATATTAGAGTCTGATTTATCATCTTCAATTTTCTAAAGTAAAAGAAGAGGTGAAAATTGTTGATTTGGAATTATTTCTAAATACAAATAAGCTTTATTTTGAAAAGCTTTAATGGCTCATTATTTATTTGATTAGAGAGTTCATTGTTTTTCTAATTAAGTTGATTTGATTGAGGATTTAATTGATGCATTAATTAGGAGATTTGATTTATGTATTGATTAGGAAATCATTATTAATCTGCTTATTAATGAGCATTTTTTTTTAATATATGGATGCAATTGGATTTTTGTTGACTACACTCATTCTTGTCACTCCTATGTTTTGGAAATATTATTAGGCATCGTTTGGGACAGCTTTATACAACTATTTTTTACCTGCTTTCAAGAGATTTTTGTACTAAAAAACAGCTTTACAAAGAAGTCACAAATGAAGCCTCATTTCTAGAGCTGTTTTACACACTTAGCAAAGTTGTTATATCAGCTGGAGTGTTTGTTTTTCACTCTTGTTTCCTTGCTTTCTTGAAAGGCTGTTTATAGACATTGAAATCTGATCATCAAAGAGAATAAGTAAGCTATCAATATTATTTTAGAGATATTTCGTTGGCTTTCTTTGAGTAGAGTGTTTCTTCTATACTCTCCATTTGATCTGGATACAGAATTACTCGTTGAAGATATTTATTTGTATCCAAGTTTGGAGCCATAAAAGGTTAGGAGTTTTTTTTTTTTTTTTTTTGTGCTACAAGTTTCCATGGAATAATACGCTGGGAATTCCGACATAATTTTTAAAGTCTAACGAAAAAATTCCGTTGAAATTTTCATCTTTTTTGGATGACATTAATTTTTTCGTTCATCGGTTAAACAATTATTTTTCATCAATAATCCATATGACATTCTTTCGACGGAAATTTATTCCGTCGAAAACCTTTTTCTTACGCGCAATTTTTCTGGTGAAATTGTGATTTTCAATGGATTTTTTAGCGGAAAATTACATATTTTCCTGCATATCTTTTTTAAAATTAAAAAATCTCTCCAATTACCTAATGTTCAATTTGCTTCCATTGGCGCATCCTTACAATAATTCTATGCTTTCATGGACTCCATGGACAAGTGTCTTGACAGTTTGTTCACAAAATAACCATATTATTCTCTCCCTTAAGAAACTTCTTCCACCAACATTCTTGGTTTTTTTGCTCTCTTTCCTTCTCAATAGCTCCCATCATCTCTTTTTAAGGTCCCTAATTTATCTGAATCCAGACTCATTAGTTACTATATTTCTGAACTTAAACAAGAATTATGATGTGAACTTTTTCTCGCAAGGCCTTCTTTCCTTTTGGATGCAATGGAATTAGCTAGGCTTTATTAATCTAAAATACAAGATTTTTTTCTACACCATTATCCATATGGTATTTCTTCCTTTATTTTCATACAATCTTCCATTCCCTCTTAATTTTTATATATAAAAAAAAATCTATGGCAACTAATTTATAAGAATAATATTTAATATAATGTATAAATTTATAATATTAAAAATTTGTATCATTAATTCTTATAATATACATTATAATAAATTTGTAATATACTAGCCCAAATTTGTAGCCCAATTAAGCTTAAATTTGAAGCCCAACTAAGCCCAAATTCATATTCTAAACTATTTATGCAACTTTTTTAATCCCATACCATAGGAGTTTGAGGTAGTTGCGTTTAACCCTTTAAATGGTGTGAAGTACACACTTTTTCTTTACACATTATGCGTGATATTTGAGATAATGTGCATTCATTAAGGTTTAATTAATCATTATATTTAATAAAAATATTTAAAAAATTAATAAATTAAAAAAAATTATTTAACATTTAATTATTATTTTTTTAATATAACCGGTCGGTTCTTTCCAAATCAGATCGGTTCAATGGGAAGAGGTTCACAATCCGATTCGATGCGAAGCTGGTTCTGAAGGCTAGATCGGACCGGTCACTAGACCAATTTACGGTTGAACCGACCGGTCTGATTTTCAAAACATTGGCTGAATTAATTTCTATTTTTTTAGAGATAAGGGCATCGCAGCACCAAATCCACTTAACTATGCCCACTTAACTCTACGTCACTTAAAACTTTTAGCTCTACTAATGGTCTTCCCTTAAGAAATCCCACTCTTGCCTTCTCCACTGACTCACACACTATTTTTCATAGTAAACAACTAGCCAGACTTCTAAAATTCATCCAAAAAACTATTTATATTAAGTACATTAACTAACACTAGCATTGCGACGCTGTCAAGGATGGCGATGTGGTGCTACAGATGCGAACTAGCACTGCTTGAATTTATTTCTCATGGTGCTAGTCTGAACCAACTCAGCTCCCACGCTGCGACGACAGAGCGATTTTGCCCTATGTTGTTGTTGTCTCATGGGAATTGCGATGCTTGATCAACACTGCAGCGTCGTGGCATTAAATTAATTGCGAAAACTTCAGAGAAGAGATCACTTTGGTTATCTTTCTTGGCATTGCAGCGTCGGAGTAGTGTTGAGAGTGCTACAACGCTTGATGATGCAGTGCGACGGCGCTGGGTCCTTTTCCAAAATTTCAATCTTTTTTTCCTGTAATTTCCTACACAACAACAACTAAAACAAAAAAAATTAAATAAAAATATATACAAAACAAGAACAATAATTTTTCACTAATAATAAAAAGGACAACACACGAGTTCAAGAGACTTATTTTCTTCTTCTCATGATATAATAAAAAAAAATCCAGTCGACAATTCTATTATAGGAGCAATTATTAGAGTTTGCTCCAATTCTACTTAAATCATCCAAGTCATCCTTTCTCTAAACTATGTGAGTTGCCTAATAGCTATAAACACAAGCCAATTCTCCATTTTCATTGAATCTATCATGCAACTCTACTTTGCGAAGTTCCTCTTTTCTAGTTTGTGGCATGCTCCATGCTCATTGTGATGATGTCCTCCTTAACTAGTATTGCCCTTTCAAAGTAAGCTAACATTGTTCTTTCAAAATAATGTCTGTAAATCAACCTAAGGATAAGGAGTCTAAGATATAATTATGTGATTATAATATATATCTATTTTTTAATAAGACATATCTTATCATTAACTTAAAGGGGCATTTACATATATACTACTATATGCTACTCTATTTACATATATAACTAATAAAACTTTAATATTACATATATATCACCCAAAGTTTATTTTCATGCCAAATATGGAGGTAGGAATGAAATAAATGAGTGGTTATGATAAAATATAGGTGGTATATTTGAAATTAAAATAATATAAGATGATATATAATTAATATTAAATTTTTAGGTATTAAATATTTAAATAGAGAGTATAAAGTGATATGTATGTAAATCCCACTACTTAAATACAAAAGTAAATTTATTTTTATTAAAAATATTAGGTGTCCAAAAATAATTTTGATAGAGTCATGATAGGATATTAAGATGTTAACAATAAATATTAGCAATTTTAACAACTAAATTAACTGACTTTCTTAACATAGTAAAAATTAATGGGCAGAAGTTTCTATATTTGTTGGGCCAAAACATAGCCCAGCCCACCAATAGCTCTAGCCGGGCCCGAGAAAACTAGGAAAAAGAGGGTATTAGCAGAAATTTTTTCTTCCGTCGAGCGAGAAAGCCAAAAGCCACCGCGACGCCGTAGGAAAGAGAAAAAACCCCGACACCGAAGCTTTGGCTGCGCTGCACGCAATTGGTCTCCTCCTCTTCCGATTTCCTCTCAAAGAGCTCTTTCTTTGGCTTCCAAGCTTCTCTTTTCTGTCCCTTCTATCCATTCTCGGATTCTTTCATTTCCGCTTCTCCGCCGCCCCGCACGCTCGGAATTCGAATCAGGCGAAGGCCTTTTTGGGATCGTCGGAGATACGAGTTTTTGCCGAGGGCTTTGTTGTTTCGGTGTGATATTTGTTCTACTAATCATGTAATTACTGGTTCTCAGTTGCGGAGTTTTTAGTTTGTTTACGTCGCTTCAAACTATCAAGATTGTTGTTTTGAAGTTCTAATGAGAGATGTGTAACTAGTTTAGCTGCTTTGATTTGGTTTGAGTTATTTTTGAACCAGATAGTTACAGATGTGCGGAATTAATGTGCATCTGGCTTGTGGAAACTCTGGAATGGATGATTATTAGCTAATTGTTATGAAAACATAGTTTTGGATTTTCTTTCAGTTAAGTTTCCCCGGGCTTCAGAAGTTGCAGTGTTTTCCTCTTCCATTCTTTAATCCTCCATCTTGTTGATGGAAATCCTAATATATTAATTAAAAATTTTATTTTAATTTTTAATTACTAATTATATAATTAATCTAGGGTATCGCTTTTCATCTTCTCCATTGTTACTGTTGCTTTTCCTCGTCGCCATTTCTTCGTGCCTGCTTCGGTCTCGCGTGCTTCGCGTGTAGTAGCGTGTTGAAAGAGCCGCTAAAGAAGCTTCGGAGCTCGCTCGCTGCGGAGGTAACCATCTTTATCTCTTTTGCGCGCTTCTTCGGCCAAATCCTGAAAATCTGCCGAACTACATGATTTCCGGGATTTTTAGGGCAAAAAGAGGGAAACGAGGATTTGTTCCACCGTGAGATTTACCGGGCGCTCAAATCCCTTTTGGCAGGATTTATGATAAATCCTGTTGCCAAACAGCCCGTAAAATTTTGGAGGTTTGGCTTTGTGTAATTTCTTCTTCTACTCGTTCGAGTTATTTCTTAATCGGTTTGCAAGTTGGCATTGTTGGGAAAAATAGTATAGACCAAAAACAAGGATAGAAAAAGTAATTGAAAAAGACTCGACATAGAAGGCATAAAAGTGTATGTGGATTGGCGGGATGGATTTGCCATCATCCATGGCCACACATGAAGAAATTTCGACTATTATTGGGAAGGGAACACCATTATTTCTTTTCTACAGAAGGATAATAAATGACTAAATAGCAACATGAGAGATTTGGAAGAGCAACAATAATCTGTTTGTATTTTATGAAGCCAATTTGATGCATGAACCCTTCAAATTTCTTGTATTAGTAGCTTGCTTTAATCTATAGATGATTTAATTCAATTTGCAAAAAAGATCTTTTTTTTTCCTATGGAATTTTAAGCCTTTAGATTGCACCTTTTAAGTGTCATTCAAACCACCATGAAAAATTTACTTGACATAATGTTTTTTGTTGTTGTTATACCCAACATTATTCTAATAGGGGATCAATTTAGCAATGGAAAAAAAAAACTTATTAAAATCTATCCCAATGCTTTATTTTTGCATTGGGTTTATAAGTTTATTTCTATCAAGTTCTTGCCCCCTTTTAAAAATATTAAAGATTAAATTTCTTTCCCATAAATAAATACTTCGCCTGGAGAAGACCCGGACCGGCTTGGCCGGTCCAGGTTGGGCCGGTCCAGGTTGGACCGGCCTAACAGTGACATAATAAAATAAGCCATTATGGAATGCCATTGGAGATGACCCCCACATATGAGTGTGTATAAGCTCTTAAATGAATTTTTTTTTTTCCAAACTTTTCGAGAATGTAGTATTTCTATTGCTTATCATCATAACATCCTTAATTATATTCCAAACACTAACGCAGAATGTTGTTGCATAATATCAAATTCTAATTTATGCATTAAATATGTCTTTTGTTATGAAGCTTCCATATAATATCATTAATAATTTTGATTTGAATATCACCAATTCTTAAATGCTTTAGGGCTTATCATAAAAAAAGGATAACTTTCATCGTTTTTGTAGAATAGTTAACCACGAGTCCTTCATGTGAAGTGGAGTTTAAAGACACTTGTTTTAGGATCCAAGGCTCCTTGGGACTGCACATACTGAAACACTTTTGAGGCTGCATCCATAGTTTACTCTTTTTTTTTTTATTCAACTTTTTCTATTGATAGTCACATTAATTTTATCATATTATGTCTAATTAACTATTTATTTTTCCAGGTTTCAGATGATTATTTAGTGGCATGGGTTGTTTGCTTGTGTTTAGTCTGAGATTTCATGAATGATGTCTAGTGCTCGAAAGAGCTTTCTTGATTCTTTCAGATTGAAATGGCAATTTAGAAATGAATCTTCGATGAACATTCATTTGCTGAGTGATGAACCTCCAGAGATAGAGTTATCTGATTATAGAAGGCTGCCAGGCTCTGATATTGAGAACCCATCAGAACTACTTGGTGGTGAAGGACTGAAAGCAGAGCCCATTGCTGACTTAGATCTGTTCTTTGAAAGTCTGTACAATTATTACTGCGAGAAAGGGCTCTTATGTATTGTGACTAAGTGGATAGTTGAGCTGCTAACGATAATATTTGTATTAGGATTCATTTGGTTTTTCTTATTGGTTGTTGATTGGCATGCACTGCGCAGTGCAAAATGTGGAATAGAAGCAGTTGAATCAGGGCAGAAGCCTTGCGATCTTGCAAAGGAAGTCATTAATCATCATCCATTAGTTCCTTTCACATTTACAAAAGGAGTCATTGTTGGTTGCATGATTATATTGACTATATATGGCCTCTTCAATTTTTTGAAGTTCTTTGTGCAGTTCAAAAATACACTGAAGATTCGTCATTTCTATTATTACAGGTAGATTGAAGTTAATTGCTATTTGCTGCATGAAATGGATTTTAATTAGAAGCCATATCTAACTGCATTTCTTGTGTCTTTCACTTATCCTAGCCTTCATGTTACTGACCGGGAAATGAGGACTTCCTCTTGGCCTACAATTCTTGAAAAGGTGGTTCAAGTGCAAAAGGAGCAACAACTTTGTGTGGTAAAGGATCTCTCTGCTCATGATATTATAATGCGTATTATGCGCAAAGAGAACTATTTGATTGGAATGCTCAACAAAGGTGTTCTTGCCCTTCCAATCTCATGGTGGGTTCCCGGAGCTGGCCCTCCTATCAACTTGAAGGCAAGTGGAAATAAAAATCATTTAATATTACCTAAAACACTCGAATGGATCCTCAATTGGTGCATATTTCAGAGCATGTTTGATAGGTAAGAATGGCTTTCTTTAAAATTTGAAGTTTTCATGTATTTTGAGTGTATTGACAACTAGGATAGAAAGGTTAGAGTGCAAGAATTAACCACCATCCTGACATCTCATTATATTAGCCTTCTGCATAGCTTGCACTATTTTCTTATGCAGATATAGGGAAAACTGTCTCAAAAGAATTTATATTTCTCTCCAAACTAATAATTGGATTTTATATGTTATGCATTGCTTGCATGTTACTACATAGACAGAACTGAACCTTCTGTTTCTAGTCAAGCCACATGATATGACCCGGATGGCCCATTGGAAAATGCACAATGTTCATAATAATATATGTCAAGTTAGTTTTACTTGCTAGTTCTGTATCGAAGATATTACAAAACTTTCATGTTCATTTCCTGTGTTGATTTTTTTTTTGTGTTGTGTTCTGCAATCGTTTATTTCTATTTTGGGATTATTTTTTTGCTTGTTGTAAGAGCTAAATTATCATTTCTGGTTGTTGTTTCATAATTTGATTTTCCCCTTTTTCTGCAGCAAGTTTTGTATTCGAAGTGATTTCATCACAAATCCTTCATTACTTAGAAAGCGGCTTGTGGTGGTTGGGATTGTAATGTTTGTGATATCTCCATGTCTTGTGATTTTTATGCTGGTATACCTTTTCCTATGGCATGCTGAACAATTTTACAACCATCCAAGGACAGCATCCTCCCGAAGATGGTCTAACTTGTCAAAGTGGATTTACAGAGAGTTCAATGAGGTATCTAAACTAATTGATTTCTAGTGCATATAGTTGCTTCTATTTTACTTTTGGCTTATGATTTGAAGGAACCAGTTTATTTCAACCATCTTTCATGCACAATTTATGATTATTGATGATCTTCTTTTCTGCTAATGGCATTGAGAAGCTGATGCCTACTTTTCTTGCATGAAACCCTAGCTCAGTTGACTTTTCTACAAATTAATGATGGGATGCTTTTTTTCATAATTTTTTTTTTATGCTTTTTTTTTTTCATATATTACTCGAGCTTTTTACAGATTATGAAGTCTTATTGTGTTTTGGTATTTGCACCTTTATCTTCTATGCAAATTCAGGTTGGCCATTTCTTTAGACATCGACTGAACAGTAGCGTGGTTCATGCCTCGAATTATTTGAATCAGTTCCCTTCTCCGCTTATCTCAACAATTGCCAAGTTCATTTCTTTTGTGTCGGGTGGTTTTGCTGCCATTTTGATTATAATTGCTTTTCTGGATGAGTCTCTTCTGGAGGGCCAGGTAAGAGTATCAATTTGATCACTTCACATTTTGGGAAAATGTAATAATATAGGAGAATAGAATAATGAACTGAACATGTGTTGTATTGGATGTGCAGATATTTCGGCGCAACTTGTTTTGGTATGCTGCTATTTTTGGGACAGTGACCGCAATTGCCAGGGCTATGGTGACTGATGAGCTTCATATCCTTGATCCTGAAGGAGCAATGGCTTTTGTTGTCCAGCATACACATTATATGCCAAAGAGATGGAGAGGAAGAGAAAATAATGATAGAGTTCGAGCAGAGTTCGAAACTCTTTTTCAGGTAAGTTGTTTGAGGCTTTCATCTTACCAATCTACTCATTGATGTGTTGTCATTGTCATTGATGGATTTTATGATTAAGATTGTGATGCAAGAACAACTCTAATAAAACTAAATAAGATAAGATTTAATGGAATAGTATCAATTCTTGGTGAGTTGTAATACTTGGGCATGTCAAAGCTAAAGGGGTTAGTGACCCCAAGATAGACGAGGAAATGTCTTGTGTTTGTGTTTTTTTTTTTTCTTTGTTAATAGAATTATTGAATACATAATAAATGTTATATAGATTTTGGAGTCTGGTGTGGCAATAAAGAAGTCATTAAAATGTGGCATAAATAAGAATTTAAGATGGATGATGTTAAAATTATGATGGGCAGAGTGTGTAATGATTATATTAGAGTTTTGTAACATCGATTTTAAATTATGCATATGATGTGATGGTTTGGATTTTTCTTTCCAACGTTTTTCTCGTGGCTTGTTTGGTTTCCATAATAGGTGGCTATGTGGTTCTTATACTTCAGTTAGTGCTTTCTGAATGTTTCTTCATCTTCTCTTATAGATTTTCCTATTAATCCTCTATTTCAATTCCTTCAGATTCTTGATTTTTCTGTAACCCGTGGCTAAGGGCTCTTGCGAGATTTGCTGTTACATTCTTGTGGGAGTGTAACTTATTATTGAGATTCTTTTTGACACTTGTCAATGGTTCCTTCGGGCATCCGGTGGTTTATTTCTTTGACAATTTTCTTATTCTTTTAAGTACTCCATGAGAATTTTCAATAGACAAACATTGTGATAGAGGGGCTAATATGATTATTCACCAAGTCGGATAAGATATATTCCAATAGTTATCTTGCGGAGTAACAATTCAAATAGGCACTTTAGTTACTCATTTGTTTTGGTCTTAGAATACATCTTATTCAAATGCAACCCCATCTAGTAATGCCATAAAAGTCTATATAAAATCATACAAGCCTATAATTTAAATGCAACTTCGGGAAATTTGTATCAACTTTTGATATAAAAAATTAAATATGTCAATTCAAAGGTTTAGTTGAAAAGACTAATAATGTTCATTTTAAAGAATCAAAAGCCAAACATTTTATTTAAAATTTTGAAATTCTTAGATGAAATGCTTTCTTTTTTTTTGTAAATTCATAAATTAAAAAACAAAAAAAGAAAGGACATCATTTTGAAATAGAGTTGTCATGTTGCTTTGGAGGAAACATTTTCCCTACTAATGTCCAAGTAATATATATATATATGAAGCTCTCTTATTTCCTGATAATTTTAGAAGAAAAAATTCTCTCATTCTCTCTCTCTCTAAATTAGATAGATAAGATAGATGACTTGATTTTTATATTTTTATTTTTAATTAAAGAATAAAATATACAAATTTTAACAATCGAATTTTCTTTTATTTTATTTTTTTTACCTTAATATTTGAAGCATGTGAAAAAAATAATAATATGTTTAATTATAAGATTTTTTTGGGTGGTGCATATCCTTTTCAATCTTGCAAATTTAGTGGGAGGCTTTCTTCTTTTGCGAGTATGAGGTTTTCTTTTTGATGACCCCTCTTTTCTTCCTTTTTATCTCCATATTCTAATAATTTTTTTTGTTGGTTAAAATGTTTGAATTTTATTTGATGTGCTACAATTATTTTTTTCTTTATTTTGTGTGGAACTTCAATGATTTATGTGCTTTTGTGATCTTTTGACGTTCTATCTGTTAGTTTGTTGTAAAGAATCAAAACTCTTTTTGTCCAAATTGGATTTATTATTATTTTTAGTTTTCATCAATAATAGCATATAACTGTTTAAAGATTAATAGTTTTCTGATTGTGAAAACTTAATATTTACTACACTAATTTGTTGCATCTGTCTTCATTGCATGTTATATTTATACTAGAAATCTTAGACCCTTGAACATCGTACATTAGGTTTATTTATATTGCTACATTTTTTAAATATTGCTCTTAAAAATAAGGTTTGTCAACAAATCAACTAAAGATGCTATTCAAAAGTAGCACATAATTGTTTAAAGATTAATAGTTTTCTTATTGTGAAAACTGAATTTTTATTACACTAATTTGTTGCATCTTTCTCTTTATTGTGTGTTAGATTTATACTAGAAATTCTTGACCTTTGAACTTCCTTCATTAGGTTTTATTCATAGCTTAAGGTTATATTGCTACATTTTTTAAATATGGTTCGTAATAATAAGGTTTGTGAACAAATCAACTAAAGAAGCAATTCAAACAAAAAAAAATTAACTATGACTATAGATAATTTTACCAACAGAATTATTTTTCTTCATTCAATGAGTGGCAAAATACTGCAATATTTTCAATTTGATTGTTAAGTTAGAAGAATTTATTTGAAAGTCATAATATATATGATTTCTAAAGATAAAACAGAGTAAATGAAATGTTCTCAATCCTTTTTGCTAAGTGTTAATAAAAAAAAAAATCTGCTAGGATGAAGTGTGAAAAATATAAGGACGTTTTCCATTCATGTACTATGGACTTAGGAAGTTTAACTAGGTGATGGTAGCATGTTTGAATATTTTTCTTATCTATGAAAATTTAGTAGCTAAGCAATTTTTCTTCCTAGAGAATATTTCATTATTTACATATGTTTCATTAAAAGTTTATGATAAGAAGTTTTTATTATGAGTTAAGTTTCAATTATCTCAAGATATTGTTATGAGACTTATGATAGATTTTCAGAATGTGAAAGACATTAACCATGTTTTCATTTTTGGGTTATTGCGCCTCTTTAAAATTTTTTTAGTGAAAATCTTCTAAATCTGATGTAGAGCTTGTTAAACACACACCAACACAAGTATCTTGTTGGATCAAATTTAATTTATTTAAGAAATATTATTCATTAATATTTTTTAAGTGATTTTTTGATGCAGAAAAATATATACAATTATATAATGATTCAACATGTAATTTAACTTTTAAAACTAAATGTGAATTGTACTTGTCCCACACTAGAATATCATAGTTTGTACCATACTTTATATTTCAATCTAAACCTTATGTGGAGCAACAAAAATTAAACCTAAATTTGAAAATGAATGTGAGATCATATATGTACCTAGACTTAAATTAAACTCTAAATAAATGAACAAATTGGTAATGTAATATATGAGAATCTGTATATTGATATGAATAGCTAAATCAATATTAACTTTTTTTTTGGCTATTTCTTGATTGATTTTAAAATTTTAAAAATAGACTTATTCAATTTTATTGTGATTATAAAAGCTCAATGATAAAATAAGCTGAAAACAACATGAAAATCTCAAGAAATATTCGATGCATCACATTGAGTTCATGAACACCTAAATCATTAAATTGGTGCTTAAATGGCCCAAACAGTTAAATATGCCCAAGCTGGCCTAGCTTGAGCTAGGTTGGATTGGCCAGCCCAGTTGAATTGCTTTTAAGCAAGGAGAATCCTTGCCACCCAACTATAGCCTTTTAGGCTTAACTCATTGCGAACAAGATGCTAGTGACCTCCCATCTCACTAAGATGTGCTCGTTATTGTGTAATCCCATTTCATTGATTCAAATTTCTTGAAATTACTGTCTTAGTTCTTCCACCTTTTACAAGGCATTCATCTCAAAATGTTCTTGAGGAGAGAAGAAGTTGATCTATTTAAAAATGATGAGATATTATTACAAATCTCTATCAAGTTCATTTAAGAAGCAATGAACTTTCTCGAAAGTGCTCTCACCAATCTGATTGTTGAAACTTTGATATGCTTGTAAAAGCTTATGTCACGGCGTATTTAGATAATTAATAGTAGACATCGAGGTGGTGGTTGTGCCAATTGCAATCGTTGAGTCACCACTTCTTGCTTAGGTTAGCTTGAATGATGCAAATAAAGCACAATATAATGATTATGAGGAAGTATGCAACTCAGGGGTAAAGAAGATGAAATGGTATACAACTTGTAGGAGCGTGAGAAGGAGAGGGGTGGGTGTACACAACCTAGAGAGAGGAAGAGGATAGGATTCAAACAATCATGCTTTTAATTTGATATTCTTCAATTCATTCATACAACCCTATGACACCCATTATATAGAAGAGAGTGATGAATACAATTATGAATAAGAAGATATAATGGTTTTTTTTTCCATATTTTAAACATGTTTAAGTTGTTTAAAAATATCTGACATGGACACAAAACGATGATCTTCATAGAGAAGAATCAATGACTGCTAATCCCACATAAATTGTCCTGTAAGGACAACAAATATGCTTTGTTCATTCCAGGGGACAATTTAACAAATGCTCAAAATTTGAATTCCACAAGAAAACAGTAGCAATAAGGCAATAACTAATTAAGTTCACGCTTCAATATGTAAATCCAACATGTATCTTACTTGACAAAATCTCAATTACCACACAAAATTGGGGGCTAAATAATTTAAGAGATAATGATAAGAATGTAGATTAACATGAAAAGAAGAATCATGTTTCACTCCAATATAGGGAGTCTTTTCTTGATATAGTTGTCTATTATACTTGTGAAACACTTGAAGAAATAACATCCAACATGCATACCCATGAAGAGAGAAAAAATTATAATTTTTATTTTAGTATTGATTGTTCAATAAGATTGAGATTTATGAGGTGTTATAATTATAGCCTTCAAATGTCTAAAAATAAAAAAATTATTTAAATTTTATCATAATTTATTTTAAAAAATAATAGGTTGCAATGTTGCATTACATCATTTATTAATTTCATAATATAAATCTTCCCATCAAAACCAATTCCATAATTGTTTAAAAGTTCCAATAACAAAATAGTATGGAAATTCTTTCAAAAAGAGAGGTATCAAGGAGTAGCACATAATTGCAGCTGGATTAGCAAAAGGGAAACATAATACTAGCTAGAAATGTAGAGACAATAATGGGAAATCTATAGGCGACAATGGGAGAAATCAATGAAAGCAGGCATTCAACTGAGCTGTAGTGATAGTTGCGAGAAAGGCCAACTACCAGTTAAAAATTAGGTTTAAAATTACACAATTGGGTATTGAGGCATTTTCAATTCGTGAGGTGGGGCGTAAGCCTCAAAGTGTTTTGAGCCGCAAGCCTCAAAATTAAGAAATTGTGTAAAGTCAAAATGAGGATTTTTTTTTTGTATAATAACCAAATAATTGTAAACTACACTTGAACGGCTACAATTCAAGATCTTGCCATGTCATCAAACGACATTCTTTGCTATGTCGTCCTCTGGCTGTAACTCTGTATTTTGTCTATATAAAGGATACTATACTCTCTCTTTAATGAAATGAAAAATTACTTTTATCTTTCTAGCTTTGGTTGTGTACGCTCTCTTACTTTCTACATATTATCAGGCCTCGTTAAACGCTCCTCCCTATTTCCCTTCCCTGTTTCTTCCTTTCCCCTCCCGCAAATAGGTGGCCCAAGCTCCGCTCATGGCCTCACCACCCTCCTCCCAGATGTCAGATGCCTCGACATCTATGCCGTCCTAGCCAACGCAGCAAATACATACCGTCCCAGCCACCCTCAAGTTCTTGATGACCACCATCAAGAACGTCATTACTCAACCACTATCAACAGACAACTATCCAGTTTGGCGAACACATGTACTCAAACTATTCAGAGCAAACTCTTACGAAGATTTCTTGGACGGATCTACTCCTCCCTCGCCCAAGAACATCGTCGACTCTACAGGTCAGCCAATACCAAACACCTATGATGCATCGACACGGCACTTAGAGAGGGTATGCAGTGTCGGACATGTGTCGGACACGGACACACGTCGGACACGGCATGGACACGTGTCCGACATGGCATTGGAGTGTCGCAATTAAAAAAATTAAAATTAAAATCGGACACATGTGTCCGACACGCGTGTCCTGTTATTAAATGATGTATCGCTAAGTACATGCTCGGTACCGCTCGGTACAGCTCAGTACATGCTCGGTATTGCTCAGTACTGCTCAGTACATGCTCGGTACCGCTCAGTACATGCTCGGTATTGCTCAGTGCATGCTCGGTATTGCTCAGTATATGCTCAGTACTGCTCAGTACATGCTCAGTACTGCTCAGTACATGCTCAGTACATGCTCGGTACCGCTCAATATATGTTCGGTACCGCTCAGTACACCGCTCAGTACCGCTAGGTACATGCTCGGTATTGCTAGGTATATGTTCGGTACTGCTAGGTATATGCTCGGTACTGCTAGGTACATGCTCGGTATCTTCCCATACAAACAACTTACGAACTTTAAAAACAAGCAGAACTTCAAAATTACTCTTACAATAAAATTTTGTTCCGGGGGCGCCCCCTTGGACCGCCGGCAGACTGGTATATTGTTGTATTCATGTTGTCTTATTATTGAGATATTTTGATTTCACTTCATATCAATTTAATATGGTGTATTCATATGTATGATTGGTTTGTTAGCAAAATGAGCTCTGCTACTGGCGGTATATTAAAAAAATATTATATATACATCTGTCCACGCCGTGTCCGTGTCCTATATTTTTAAAAAGTATTATATATTATATTAAAAAAATATTATGCCGTGTCCATGCCGCACCCGTGTCCTATATTTTAAAAAATTGCCGTGTCCCGTGTCCGTGTCCGTGTCGTGTCGTGTCCGTGTCACCGTGTCCGTGTCGGTGCATCATAGATCATCACATGTTAGTTTGCCACACCAATGGAAAAGATATCTCTACCATCCACTATCAATGAAGGACACAACCACTGGCCAAAATAGCTTCATGAATAAGTTGAATAAATATGTTTATTAACATATTGGATGTGAATTCACGAGGGGAGGGAAAGAGAAGAATCCAAAGTACTAACAGCAATTTCATGAAATAACGTCAAAGCAGATGTGTTAAAAGTTTGATCAGTACCATAACTTCTTAGAATTTTCAATTTAGAAGTGCTTGTTTCAATACATTGCAATACTTGATATTACAGCTTTTTTTTGTAGTTCAGATCTTGATTCATCTGGAAGCTCAACAAGCTCTATGGGTTTTTTTACTTGATAACCTATGACAATTTCAAATGGACATGTCAAATAATAAGTGAGCATGTTTACAAATGAAATGAACAAACAAACCAATGTTTTTATTTTTTTATTATTTTTTATATTGAGCTTTATAAGTAGCCTCCTAGAATTTGTCGCCCACTCCAATGAAGGACTCAAATAAGATCCATCCAACAAGGACACGAATATAGAAAAATTAAAATTTTATTTAATTTCCAATCTCTATAGAATTTTAATGTTTTGTGGTTCTATTTGTATTATACAAAGGATCCAAATACAACACCACACAAAATCCATCATGTTCAACTAAAAAATAGCGAGTTTCAATTCACCATTCTTGAATTTCTGCCATAGAAATCCTTCCATAAAATTTAATTCCTTAATCGCTTAACGATCATGATGAAATAGGAAAATATTTACACTCCAAGGCACATAGGCGGTCAAGAGATGAGCACACTAGGTTGGACCAGGATGGATGATGGACACAAGAATTGGGGCGTTGCAGGTAAATTGAGGCAATGGGCTTTCAGCAATAAGCAGGAATAGCAATTAGACCATTACCCCTGTATAGTTACAGTCGCCAGTAGACAGAATAACAATAGGACCAAAATTAGGAAACATCGAGAAAATTAGAAATATCAGCTGGACACTGAAATCAAGATGAATTTTAATAATAGTTAATGCAAGAATAGGAGTAATTGTGAGTAGAAGTTAGCAATTCATATTATAGTAATGATTCTAAGCATATTGTAAGTTTTAGCCTTGATTGTTCCCTTTGTCGTTCTAGGCATACCCAAGACTTCTTTGTGTTAGCTTCACAAATCTTACTTAGCACCCAGACATAGATTGTCAAATAAAGAAATTACCTACATTCATTACTAGTTAGAGAAAGCTTTGTGATCTATCATCCCGTTGTAACTAGATGTGCATTAACTTAAAATTTCCTTGTTATGTCCTCATTGATATTATAAGATTATAAAACATCTATGGTTATTGTAATGTTCATTGGCGTGTTCCCTGTGACGTCTACTTTGTTCTTTCATTGTGAGTCGTGCAACTCCTAAAAATATTATGAATGGTTGCTTTGTTAAAACTAGACTTGTTGTTTGGTTCTTGTGGTCATTGTTGTTTAGTTTTCAAAGTTTTTTTTTTTGCTCGTTAATTTATTTTAAGTTTTTTCTTAGTTGATCATGTTTTCTTTATAGTTTTTGAAATTGGTTTTGCAAAATATATAAAACATCATTTGTATAGTGATATGTTAATTAGCCTTAATAATTGATCACACTTTTTAGTGAGGTTGATACCAACTTAGGCTCTTAAAATTTAATATGGGATAGTTAAGGGTTTAAGTTTTCTAATGCAACATAGGATGAGATGCAAAATGATAAAAAAATTAAAAATCCACAGGTTTTCAACCTGTAACTTAGTCAAAACTTAAATGTTTTTTATGTATGTTTAACAAATACACTTTTTGCTTTGATCATCCCAAAAGATAATTTATTAATTGCTCAAAATATGAAATTCTATAAGAAAATTGTTTTTAAACTTCATCAAAATCCTTCTCTACTCAGAGAAAGCTTTAGGATTTATCATCCCTTCATCAAAATCTCTTGATCTAACCCTTGCAGAATGTTTGAAGTGTTAAAGCTGAGCTTAAACTTCATAAGTTATAATTGGAAACTGAAATTTTTATCCTACTTTTTCGTTGATGCAAATGATTAATTTCCACTAAAAGATGCATTTAGAGAAATGATATATTTATTAGCTATGCTGCTTTCTGTTTTATGTATGCAGTACACCGGAATGATGCTGTTGGAGGAAATGGCTTCGATCTTTATTACACCATTTCTTCTTGTATTTGTTGTTCCCAAGGTGAAATTTTGTGCCAGAAAATGTTTATTGATCTTTACTCACGGTACACTGAACTAATTGTTTCCTGTAAATTCACAGCGTGTGGATGATATTTTACAATTTATTTCAGATTTCACAGTGGATGTTGAAGGTGTTGGCCATGTCTGCAGGTGCTATTCCTCATTTTATCGTCTTCTAAAACATTTTGTTTGGTTTATTAAATTAAATTAACCTCTTACTTGTTTGATATATTCTTTGTTATAGCTTAAGCTTATTTGATTTTGAAAGACATGGAAACAGCAAATATGCTTCTTCATTTAATGCTCCAAAAGACTTGAGGAGCTCCCAAGGGAAAATGGAGAAATCATTCTTAAGGTATTTACTCTACAAGATTGTGATATTTTTACTAGTTGTTGAGTCATTCGAATTCTCATAATCTTATTTTGGAGTGTCATGACAGCACTTTTTGTACATTTTTCGTCTTCTTTCACCTTATCAAAATCATTAGGCGATAAATGAGTTATATACAACTATCTTGCAGTTTCCAGAGTGCCTATCCTACTTGGGAACCAAATTTACACGGTCAACAACTCCTCACTAAGCTACGAAATTTCAGGGAACAACAACTGAGAGATGAAATGAAACAGGATTCTTCTCCAATCTGGAGAAGGCAGATCAATCAGAACTTACAGGTCCGTGGAGAATTAATCTACAGGTTTCCCTTCCGCAAACCAGAAAACATTGGTGGCTTCCCTATCTCCACTTATAACCTGACCCCTGATCTAAGGACCCTGGACTGTTACTACTTAGCTCAACCTCTGCATTCCTTAGATACTGAAACGGCCTTCGAGCCAAGCCGAGGACCATGGCGACCGTACGCCCAACCTCCATATAGAGAAGAAGTTGAAATCGAAGAACGAAACAGACAGCAATCCCACATGGAGGCCTCGACATCGAGCCCTTTCTTCCATGAAAACTCCTTCCATCAATATGCGACAGAGCACTACCATCCCAAGGATTGGTGGAATCGACCTCCGGTTGGATCAGCTGGGCCTCAAGCCAGTTTCCTTGAGCCACCATCTGTTTTCAACCACCATACTTTCAGGCAATACACTGATGATTTGTCAGAGAGAAGCGTCGACGAGGAAGGAATCCGTGATGGCAACGACGACGGTAGATCTAAAAGGAACCTTCGGTCATTGTGGAGGACGACTTATATGGATGATGATGATGGTGATGGAGGATTTGGTCTACATTTCGCCGACGAACCAAAAATTGAAAGATCTCCAAGCTTGGTGTCTAATGTTTATGGCAATCATTTGGCAAATCTTCCAGTAAGAATTATACCAAGTAGCAGCGATCCTGTGGAATGAATGAGCCATGAACTATAAGCTACAAAGCTGGGGGATTTACATTGTGTCTAATGCTATTTAGGCTTCATTTGGGACGGCTTTTTTACTGCTTCTTAAAGCAGTTTTTTAGTACAAAAATTAAAATTTATGTACTAGAAAGCTGCTTTAAGAAGCAGTAAGAAAACCGTTCCAAACGAAGCCTTAATTAAGCTTTAGGATCAAAGCTTAGGTGTGATGGTATTCTTTTGTACATTGAATGTATGGTTGGCTTAAAAAATGAATCAATTAGAAACAATGATCTCATCCTGATGGCAGAGGATTCATTGAATAGCCTGGAAGTGCAACTAACCCCTTGGAAGGAAGAGGAAAAATGTAATGAATATTTTGTTCTCAAACTGCACTTTCATGCTTTATATTTGGCCATTGTAAAATATGAACTCTTTATTTAACAAAAAATAATTATTTTCTTTATTTTAAATATTTTCATGTGAATCAATATTTCTAATTGGCTGTGGTAGAAATAGTATTTATCATTCAATTCGTTTGTTATTTTTTATTTATTAATAGTTTGTAATTTTATTTGCATTATAGCTATTTTATTTGAATGAGATTTTCTCATGCATACATTACTTTTGGTATTCAAGTGTTTTGTTTTTATTTAAGTTTTTTTTATTTTAAGATTATGAATATACGTAATTTAAAATGATTCGAATATGATTTAATATTGGCCAAATTTGAATTAAAAAACGCTATAAATTAAATTTTGGAGAAAAAAAAAGAGATTTTTTCCAATAAAAATTCAAGGTTAAGCTCATTCGCCTTGGACTTGGGCTGTTTGCAAATTTTGGAGTGGTGAGGCAAGTTTTCATTTGAAATGGATATTTGCTGCTGGGAATTTTTTTTAGGGAAATTTACATACATACCACTTTATAACATCTTATTTACGTATCTAACACCTAAAACTTTAATATTACATGCATACCACCCTATATTATTTTAATATCAAATATACCACTTATATTTCTTTCCTACTATTCATATATTTCATTCCTACCACTCATATTTGATATGAAAATGAACTATGGGTGGTATTTATGTAATATTAAAGTTTTAGGTGTTAAATATGTAAATAGAATAGTATTAAGTGGTATGTATGTAAATTTCCCTTTTTTTTAATTATATGCGCCTAAAATTTAATCATTTTAAAGATAAAATATTATATAATATATATATATATATATATAGTATATCTATTTGTTGAAGATAATATCAAAAATTATTTTATGTAATTTTTCATAAATTTTTAATTACTAGAAAACTATGATTGCAAAAAAATGATCTTAAGAACTCTATAGCAGTGCACAAAGATTATTGTTGATAACTATTATTATTTTCTTTTGAAATTTTTTTGGGTTGATAACCATTTCTTCACTTCCTACATAATTTAGCATAATTATCTTTTTTTTTTTTTAATTTTACATAAAATATTAATTTTCTACCTAATTATCAAATTTAAATAAATTTACCTTTGGAGGGTTAGCCGGGCAAGCCAACCCTATAAGATCCATAAATTATGTCGGCCATATGTCTTGATAACCATACAGCACCCATCAATTAAAAGATGTGCGTGGCATACATAGCCAACCGACCCTTTTAAAATTTAGTTAAAAGACAGATTTTGTTATTTATAGCTGGACATTCGACTGCTGGATATCTCGTTTTCGATGTGGGACTAATTTTTTCATCTGTTGTGATTCCACAGAATTAAAACCGAAGCAAATAGAATTCAGTTTTACCGCCTCTTCTAATTTATCGCTTCGTCAAGAACCCGCCAAATTTTTTACCAGATGACTGGTTCGATACTTCGCGCCATAAATTGAAATGTTCTACCCCCTGCATGGCTTCTGCTAATCCTCTTTCCCGCTAAATTCAAAGAAGCTCCTTTCCAATATTTAAGCCCTTCATTTCAACATTCTCTTTGCTTCCTCTCCCAATTTTGCAACTTTCTTCTACGCTCTGCTGCTTATGGGATTTGAGACGCCACCCGATCCTTCAATTCTCCTCGCCGATGAGATCCGAAGTATAAGATTAGTTTTGGGGAATGAGATTCCAGTAGTCGAAATCCTCCAAGCTCTCGCAATGGCGGGAAACAACACTGATCGCGCTATCAACTTTCTTCTCGACGCCCCCAGGCCGGTGTACAAATCCGAGCTGATAAAGGAGAAGAATGCTTCTGGTAGGCCGGAGTTCGAGCTCAAAGCCTTGAAGGAGGAAAGCATTACTCATGAGCTGGAGAATGCTTTCATTCAACCCTGCAGAGAATCGGCTACGGTTGATATGGAAAATAGGATAAGGAAGGCAGAACCTGCTATAGGTTCTTATGAAGATGCCATCTTGGTGCCTGATGATAAAATAAATGAAGAGCCAGATAGGGTTTCCGGGGTAAAGAAAGTGGAAGCCATGGATTTTGATCAATATCAAGGCCCTGTGGAAAAGAAGGACACTTCAGAGGAAAGCTGTGACAATTTCTCTATGGTAACGACAGCCCACTATTCTCCCCGTCTCAATGCTCGACCAATTAGGGCTTTTCCACCGAAGTCTCTAACAAAGCCTGTCTCAAATCGGAGTACCCAAGTGCCATCAAATCCAGACCCGGCTGAAATGGCAGAATTTCCTGAAGAACCCTCATGGTTTCTTGTTGCGAGGTCTTATGTAACGGGTTTGGCGACTACCCGTGGATCGGGAAAGCTGGAACCCAGTGAGATTGTTTACTTCAACTTTCCAAAGATTTCTGATGGCAAGTTATATGGGAGACGGTGGGTTAGTTCAAAGGCCGCGGCCGCAACCTCTGAGATTGTCCGCTTCTCAACAAAGCGGTCCGGCGAGGTATGTTGCCTATGACCGGTGATATTTCCCTTCGTTTAGCTTTATACTTGGTAAGTTCTACTCTTCTCTTAAAAAACAATTTTTTTAGCATAAAATTACAATTTTTTACTAGAAAATTGCTTTAATAAGAAGTAAGAAAGCCATCCCAAGCGATTTTGTAATCTTTTTGTTGAGGTACTGATTTTTTTTTTTCCCGATTAATTACCAGCTAGGAAGACTTCCTCCCGAGTGGTCGCAATGCCTCATTCCCCTCGTGCATTCTTCCAAGGTGAAAGTGCGTGGGCGATGCGCTATAGCACCTGATGAACTTTGCTTGATGAAAGAGATTATGTTATATGTCAGGTGATTAAGATTGCTGATCCCTCTGATCCTTAATTGTAAATTTATTTTCTTTACGGTGAATCAATTTTGATTTCTTAAGAGGATGCCGAGCTATAAAAGTTAGTTCATTGCAGTTTTGGTGCTTCTTTTTTCTATCTTCCGTCTGCAGCTTTTATATTCACAGTTCTGTTTTTACTGAGGGTGATAAATCCTCTTGGAAGCTGGAAGCTACAACCCCTAATTCTGCTCTGCATCCTCTCCACAATTTGTTCTTTCTACTGAAGATGAAGCCATTCAAGGAGGTATTTTTCTTTCTGTCAACTACTCTTTATGTATTTTGCTTCTTATAACTATTATTAGTTTTCGAGGAAATTTTTTTGTTAAATAGGTTTTGGTGTTTTTTTCTTTGTAAATCAGGCTGATTTCACACCAGAGGAGCTTGATGGCCGCAAGAGATCATTAAACCTAGTAGTAAGAACAAGTTCTCTTCATTGACTACTACTCATTCATCTGATCATTCAAGTCTCTTTAATAATTCTTGAGCATAAACATCTGTAAGCCATTTAGTAATCTGTGGGAACATTAAATGTACTCAATCACTATTATACTTCATAAATCTACTTGTATATAGCATTCATAGACATGCAAATTGAAACAGGATCAAGAATCTGAGCAAATAGAGGGCCTGGCAAAGCGAAGGAAAGGGGATACAACTTTTATAGAACAAAGTAATGATGAGCAAGCAATCTCCGAAGCATCTCTCAATAAGCTTGTTGGAACAGCAGAAATGTACAACCTGCAGGTAGTTCAATGAAACTATGCTTATGTTTCTTGTAGAATTGTAATTATGGGTCTTCATTGTGATATTCTCTTAAGGAAAAAAATTTTTTTTTTGCCTGCTTGATAGGAAGCTAAACCTCCAAGAACACTTCTTTCTAATTTGTGGTCATATCAAAAGCAAGCCCTCTACTGGATGTCTGAATTAGAGAAAGGAATTGATGTTGAACAAGCAGCAAAAACACTTCATCCTTGTTGGTCAGCATATAAAATTTGTGATAAGTATGATCGACATCCCTGAAGTTAATGTGTCCAAAATGTTCAAAGAAAATTAGAAGTTAGTATATGCCTTTTGTTTCTTCCTGTTGCTTAGCACATGATAATTTACAGGAGAGCTCCAGCAGTCTACTTAAATGTATTTTCTGGAGAAGTTACAACTCAATTCCCAAGTGCTACACTGATGGCTAGAGGAGGGGTAAGTTCATTGGAATATTTGTTGCAATTGAAGGTATTGTGTGTGTGTGTGTTTTTTTTTTGGCTTGTATAAGAAATATACCTTTATAAATTTAGGTTTTATTCTAGTATACATAAGCTTGAATCTGAAAATTAAGGGAAAATTATCATTCGAGTCGTATATTTTCTTAGCGAACATCCCACATTTAGGCTTCATTTCAAACTACTTTTTTATTGCTTCTTAAAATGGAGTTTTAGCACAAAAACGTTTTTAGAAGCAATAAAAAATCCGTCCCAAACAAAGCCTTAGTCCATTGTTAGAAGTGTGGTTTATAGTTTTAATCATTATAGAAAGGAATTTTAATTTGAAGAGTTGCACTGTTCCTTTATGTGTTAGTTATTACCTGAATTCTCTATTATTGTGTTATGAATGATTCATCTTATCAATTTGGCTATACTTTTATTTAGACTTGTGCATCTTCTGCTTGCATTGCATAACGTTTGACTCTTCAAATATGTAATTTTTTGCTGAATATGTTTCATATCTGAATGATATTTCTCTAGATTTTAGCTGATGCAATGGGACTTGGAAAGACTGTCATGACGATTGCGTTAATCCTTGCAAATCCAAGTAGGGCTGCACCTGATGACGAAGATACAGATGTGGAAGCATGGAATGAATCTGCGAGGAATTTGAATAAAGGTTCACCAAGCCTGAAGGGAGGCACACTTATTGTTTGCCCAATGGCATTGTTGGGTCAGTGGAAGGTCAGCCTTGCAATAAGTCTTAGAGAAGGAACGGAATTTACTGCACTTTCGTTTTGAGAATCATTATTGGGATCGTTATTGTTGTATTCATCGATTGTATCCTCACTAACAAGATCCTCTATATGTGATTGTGTTCTATATTTTGTTGATTGTTGATTTCACACTTCTCTGAGCTGTGATGTTTGTCTGAGGGAAAATGGGTTTTTGTTCTATTTTACATTGCTCAACTTGGATTGTTAATAGTTTGTCCAAGAAGCTAGCTTAAACATGAAGGATTCATTCACCTTTTGCCATGCTATGTTATTTTTGTTTGATTAAACAAAAAAAGGGTATGTGGCATCTCATTTTAAAATTAAGGATTTATTTGTGATGACTTTCTTACTGTTTCTTAAAGTATAATTCAAATTTTTTTATTTTTTAACTAGAAAGCTACTTTAAGAAGCAGTAAGAAAGCCATCTCAAATGAAGCCTAAATCCATATGTGGGGGATCTAGTTGGCTCTGTGTTTCTCACAAATTTTGGCTAATTGATTGCTTGTTATCCTTAGCTTTAATATGTTTTGTGCTGCTAATTTCTTTTAAGAAAGGGTGTCATTATTAGATGCAGCTTTGGCCTGTTATTTCTTGAGCATATTTGAGCATTCTTAAGCTTGATTAACTTTGGGTTTGGTGTTCTGAACTCAAATTGACAAACATGTTTGTCTATTATTTGTTTGCAGGATGAATTAGAGGCACATTCAAAACCAGGTTCTATTTCTGTTTTTGTTCACTATGGTGGGGAAAAGTGCAGTGATTTGCGAGAAATTTCAAAGTATCATGTTGTCCTAACAACATATGGCGTCTTAACATCAGCTTATAAAACTGTGAGTACAATGTCTTGCGTTAATTCTTCTTTTGGCAGTCTATTGTAGAATTTGAAGATGTTTTACAATATTATGTTGTTTTAACAACAAATAATCACCACACTGGATAGTGTTTGCTATCCCTATTTATCCCATCCCTCTTGTGCCATTAGATTTACTTAAAGGAATGGTTAAAAGGAATATATTAATAAAAATTTAGGCTTTGTTTGAGACGGTTTTCTTATTACTTCTGAAAGCAGCTTTTTAGTATAAAAATTTTAATTTTTAAATTAAAAAATTGTTTTAAGAAGCAATAAAAAAACTATCCTAAATAAAGATTTATTTTAATTTTCTAGCCAATCAAATAGTAAAAAGTTAGATTTCTTGAATTTATTTTGCAATCAATCAAACAATTTTGAGTCTTTTAAATAATTATTTTTAATTTGTATTGCATTTAGAATATACATGTGTTAGGATTTTTGGTCCAGTTTTAATTATTTTTATTTCTTAGGTTCATTTTACCTTGTATTAGTGTTATAAGTAGAGATGTGAGCTCTATTCTCCCTCAGTCCCTCTATTCTCTCTTGGACCATCTTAACGGTCACTGAAGCAGCAGAGGAACCAGTCGCTTCATCATCAGTAACGGCATTTGCAGACAAATGCCTTTCCACTACTCTAGCAACCGCCTCTGACAAACGGCCACTTAGCTTAATCAAAGCCATAGCTTAAACACAAATCAATCTTAACCATCCACGTGTCATGATCCTCTTCTATATATAGAGATGTAAACAGAAAGCAAAAGGCAATGAAAATACTGTTACATTCCACTGTTCATCTTCTCTGTTATGCTTTAGCTTCTACTGTAGGTTTCTATCTTGCAGGTTTAGTGAAGCTCAGCAATTGTCTTTAGACCAAGCCATCCAAGAATTTTGGAGGGATTCAAGAAGCTTTCCTTGCTCCTAGAAATCCAACCAAGGGTGGATTCAACCTTAATTTTTAGGGTGGTCAAACTTATTATATAAAAAAGATGATGCCGAACAGCCAAAGGCTGTGAAGATGTGGAAGGCTGGGAAGACATCGAAGAGCGAAGTTGCAATTCTTAAACCTTAGTGTGCTAAGTGCTGTACATGCAAGCCAAAATATTTTTGAGAGGAGGCAAAATTTCAAAATTGACCTTCATATACAATTTTTTTTTTTAGAGTGGGCATTTGCCCACCCTGACTCGTATGGGGATCCGCCCTTGATCCCAACAACATATATTCTAAAGTATTGCAATCAAATGGCTCTTTAATATTTGTTAGTAGCGCTGAATTACAAGTATTTTTTTATTTTCTTCAAGAGTACATGAGAATTTATTTTGTATGGCCCTTTAAGGGGAACCAAAGCACGATCCGTTTCTGGATTATGGATTTTCATGAGTTTTTTAAAATCTTAATATAGGGGTCTGAAAAGAAGAGCATCTTTCACAATATAAGATGGTATAGAGTTGTTCTAGATGAAGCACACACTATCAAGTGTTCAAAATCTAATGTGGCCCAATCAGCCTTCGCATTAACCTCACACTGTAGGTGGTGTCTTACTGGCACTCCACTTCAGGTTAGTGCTTTTCCATAAAGTTTATTTAGTATATGTGTTGTAATAAAATGGCAACAGAAGTGTTCATCCAATTTGAGATTTTATATTTATCTCGGTTCAAATAAGTGATTTCTGTTAATACAGAACCTTTTTTTTTTTCTTGCATGCAGAATAGTTTGGCTGATCTGTACAGTCTACTTTGCTTTTTACATGTACAACCATGGTGCAATTGGTCTTGGTAAGTTTTGCAAGATACTTAAGTGTTTTAGGCCACACATAACTCTATCTGATACATAATAGCTAGCTACCTTTGCAGTGCCATGCACGATTTTATCCTTTAACTGAGTCTCCTCCTTGTTTGACTCCTCAGGTGGCATAAGTTGATTCAAAAACCATATGAGAATGGTGATGAAAGAGGATTAAGATTGGTTAAGGCTATCTTGAGGCCATTGATGCTACGAAGAACAAAGGAGACAAAAGACAAGGAAGGAAAGTGAGTGCGGTTCTTATTATAGAATTCCTTACCATTCAGTGATAACATTTTGAAGGAGGTCCTTATTTAATTCTTCCATTCTGCTAGGCTTCTGTGAACTCATTAATAAGTGCTTCAAAACAATATTTTCAGGCCTATTCTGGTGCTTCCACCAGCGCAGGTTCAAGTTGTAGAATGCGAGCAATCTAAAGAAGAGCGTGATTTCTATGAAGCTCTCTTCTGGAAATCAAAGGTGATCATTGCGCTAGTAGCATAAACTTATTTTTCATCAGAAGCTTCTTAATATTGAACTGGCTTGAGATGTTATTTCTTTCACTTCTAACTACAGCCATTTCTCTCCCAATCTATGTAATCTGATCAAGCTGTAAACTACAGATCAAGTTTGATCAGTTTGTCGCTGAAGGTAGAGTTCTTCACAACTATGCATCCATCTTAGAGCTACTACTCAGATTAAGACAGTGCTGCAACCACCCTTACCTTGTCATGAGGTTAGTCAAATTTTAATCTGCAAAGCTTAATCAAGTTAAGTAATAACTCTTTTTACTTCTTATTTGAAAAATCTTCAGTCGTGGAAACAATCAACAGAACGCTGACCTCAACAGTCTAGCGCAGCGCTTCCTTGAAGTCTCCCATTATAACCCAGGAGGATCAACGCAGTGTCCAGTTCCAGCCCCAAGCTATGTAGAAGAAGTGGTAGAAGGAATCAAACGGGGTGAAGTCAGTGAATGCCCAATCTGCCTTGAATCAGCGTCGGATGATCCAGTGTTCACGCCATGTGCTCATCGGATGTGCCGTGAATGTCTCCTGAGAAGCTGGAAAACTCCCACCGCCGGGCCATGCCCGATCTGCCGAAGGGTCCTCACAAAGGCTGAGCTCATAATGTGCCCAACTGAGAGCCCCTTTGAGGTTGATATAAACAAGAATTGGAAGGAGTCGTCGAAGGTGAAAGAGCTGATGAATTGCCTTGTGAAGATAAGGTGTTCAGGCATGGGGGAGAAGAGCATTGTTTTCAGTCAGTGGACTTCATTCCTTGATCTCCTGGAGATCTGCTTCAACAGGGAAGGAATTCAGTTCTTGAGGTTTGATGGACAGTTGTCACAGAAGAACAGGGAGAGGGTATTGAAGGAGTTTGCCCAGAGCAATGATAAGAAGGTATAACAACTCTGATATGTATATTTTAATTTTAAGTTTTGAGCCGTTAGGATGTGCTGTTTGGCTAAATAAGATTTAGCTCGTAGGAGTTAGTAAATTCTATAAATCCATATTTTGAAAATCTTGACAGGATTAAAATCTGAAAATTAGTTGACATATAGTAATTTAGGGGTGTTAATTTTGGGTCAAGGGTTGGGTTCGGGTCGAACTTGAAATTGACCTGTCACTATTTGGATCAACTCGTACCCAATATGTTTTTGCAAATGTGTCAGTTTTTCGGACCTAAGTTTGACTCACTTCGGGTCCGAGTCAACTCGACAAGATCCGAATGACCTGGGGCTGACTAAAACTGTAGTTTTTTTTTTTGTTCAAAAAAGGGTCAATTTTTGCTTTATGGGTTAAAATGGGTCGTAAACGGGTCAATCTCATATTTTTGGGTCAAAACAAGGTGTCGGGTAAAAAAGGTCAATTTCAGGTCTAAGGGTCAATCCTAACCCGACCCATTTTTGAAACAGGTTGAATTCTTGAACTCAAACCCGACCTGTTTTGAGTTCGGGGTTGGGTTAACCCTAACCAGAAATTTTTGAATTGAATTTGAATCAAATTTTCCTGTCGTGTTAAATATTGATATATCTTGTTAAATTTTGATAGATTGTTTGGCTATTTATCTCAAAATTTAAGATTGATGAAAGTCAGAAATCCTTAAACTTGTTGAACTCTGAATGATAGTATTTGACAGATTTTGATTTGACTAATAACACGATTGATATAAGATTTATCCAAAAAGTTGGATTCGAAATCTTCAAAATTTTATGTCGTGGGATTAAAGCTAAATACTGCTTAAATCCGGCTTGAAATAGGATGCCAAGCAGCTCCTAATCGTATCTGACTGAGATTTTACCTGCCTAATAATTCCATCCTTCAATCTATCTGCCAATTTGGTCAGGTTTTGTTGATGTCTCTTAAAGCAGGAGGCGTGGGACTAAACTTGACTGCAGCTTCTAATGTCTTTCTCATGGTAATTTTTGTTTGGCTTAAATCTTATTTCTACCATTTTTTCTTCTCTAATGCTTCTTTGTCTGGTTTTGTTCTCTGGAAACCAAAGGATCCTTGGTGGAATCCAGCAGTGGAAGAACAAGCCATTATGAGGATCCATCGCATCGGACAGAAGAGGCAGGTGAAAGTGAGGAGATTTATCGTCAAGGTAACCAAAGCAAATCATTCAATTGGTAATAGTTTGATTAGCAAATTTCAGGAAAGTGATTTTGATATATTTGTTGTCGTTGTGGTATTTTGAGAAGGATACTGTGGAGGATAGAATGCAGCAAGTTCAAGCTAGGAAGCAAAGGATGATTGCTGGAGCTCTTACTGATGAGGAAGTGAGGAGTGCTCGGATTGAAGAGCTGAAGATGCTCTTCAGATGAGAAGTTTCTTTGATCACTGATGACCAAGCTTTTGAGTTCAACGGTATAAATAGCTGTTGAAATTTTTGTTTGAAATTTTGGGTGCAATCTGCAAAATTGCTATTTTTTTTGTAAATTTATATTTAGGTTTTGTTTGAAACAATTTTCTTATTGTTTTCTAAAGTAGCTTTTTAGTATGAAAAATTCTTATACTATAAAGCTGCTTTGAAAAATTATAAGAAAATTATTTTGAACGAAGCTTAAATGTAGTACCTTGTGAAGTGGCGAAACTTGATTGTTAGGCTGATTTTGTATATTTAAATGGGAAGTTCAGCTGGCTATCAAGTTCAATGGTTATTTCTCCAAGATTTTCTATTATATTTATGAGAGAATTTCTAAGATTTTTATGGGAAGAAAGTTAGTAAGGCTTTGCTTTTTTTTAAATAAAGTTTTAGTACAAAAATTAAATTTTTTGTATTAAAATTTTGTTTTAAAATAGTAATAAAAAAATTGTTCCAAACGAAGCCTTACTTGCTTCTTTGCATGTAAAGTTTAAATGAACTTGTTCTCTATAAAGTTTGGATTATAGACAATATGGGAGGGATTAAAAGATGTTCAATTGTTCAGCCCAACTAGTAGTATTGTGACATCAGGGTTTAGAGTGTTGGGCGTTCCACCTGATGTCACAATACTACTAGTTGGGCTATGTTGCTTGCAGCATCGTAGTGTTTTGGTCTGTATCTTTGACTTGAGGCTACAGTGTTGTAGTGCTTGAGTATACAATGTCATGGTATTATACAATTGTATATAGTGACATAACACTCTCAAACCTTAAGTGGGGGTGACTCCCTACTACCCATCGACGAGCTTGAATTGATGGTATTTTGGTTTGAGAAGTACAAGCTGATCAATTGATATAATTAGATTTCACCCAAAAGTAACATTGCACTCATCTCCAAATTGAGAAATCTAAACCCTGAAAGCTTTGAAAGATTAGCAACATGAAATTTTTAAAGAATTGTGATTAAGGGTGTAAGTGACTTGAATTGAGATTGAGATATATTTAGTTTGAATTTGAATTTGATTAACTAATTGAATTTAAGTTTGAGTTTAAGTTTAATTTTAGGAGTTTAGCTCAACTCATAAATGATTGAGAAAGAGGAAAAATAATTTTGATTTAAGCTTTTATTATAAAAAATTAATATAAAAGAGAAATAATATTAGAAATAATTATTTGATTTAAGGAAAGGGGATTTCCAACCACCCCCCCCCCCCCCTCCCCCCCCTTTGCTTTGATGAAGTTTGACGTATTGGGGAAGTTTTTCATCTCTATATCCTCAGGTATTTTTGTGGTTGTGTTATTTTGCTTATGGCGTTTGTTCGCCTTCGAGATTCTGGCTTTCTTAATGGGTCTTCTGCGCCTCTTTTGTTTAAGGATGCCTTATCTGGTGTTTCTTCTTCTTCTTTTTCATGATTTATGTGTTTCTTCTCATCGGGGTTTGTCGGCTCTGTTCTTAAAGCTTATAGGGGAATTTTCGGTCACTGTTCTTAATCCCATGAATGTTTTGATTAAACTTGTGAATGACTTTGATTATTGCCAGATTTTTTCTCATATATCTTATTTTGTTCAAAATTGCTACATGAAAGTGGTGAAATGATACCCCAATTTGGATGTTGAGGTGGATTCTCCGATTGTGCCTATTTGTTTTTCCTTCCCTCACCTTAGGCCCCATCTCTTTTCTCTTAGGATCCTTTTCGGATTGGGTTCTCTCTTTGGTCGCACGCTCAAGTCGGATATGGCTACTGCGTCGGGTTCCCGTCCGTTAGTGGCTCGTATTCTTGTTGAATTGGATGTTACAAAGAAATATCCTGAAAATATTTTGTTTGGTTCTATGGAAACGGGTTATGTTCAAACAATTATTTTTGATGATATTCCTCATTTCTACATGCATTGTATTTCTTTAGGTCATTCTAAGAATGTTTGCCCTATTTTACATCCCACTCTAAATGTTTCTAAACATGTGGTTGCTTCGTGTGGGATGCATGATTTGAATGTTCATGATGATGGCTCTAACGATGCTCTTAACCCGTCTGCTAATTTAGTCACGTAGTCTGTGGTTCAGGTGGACAATGTAGTGCCGGATGTTGTTGCCAATACTCCTGATGTTGCTGCTACTGTGTTGTCCCCAAATGCATTACCTTTTGTTCCCCCTGTTTTGGATTTGGGCCCTCCGGCGCCTAATTGTTATGTGGTAGTGCCTGTTATGACGTTGAATGGACTCTGTCCAGCTGATGAGGATGTTGCTGAGGTGCCCTATGTGAACCTTTGTGAGAATGTTGAAGTTGTGGTTTTACCTAATGTTGTGTCCCCTCGGTCTGATCCCGTTCCTGTTATTTTGGATTCGGGTGTCTGTGTGGGTTCTGCGGCTGCTACCTCTAACTCGCCTCGTGTGTTGGATGACTGTTTAGTCAATAATAATTTTGTGAATGTCCCCGTTAATTTAATTGATTCTCACTGTCTTGTGTATCATGTAGGGGACAATTCAGGCATTGATGTTCGTGGGCAGGTTGACTGGCTTCATGGTGAATCTGATTATGTGTCTGATTCTAATTTGTTGGAGTCGAGTGGGGATGACGACCTAGGGAACCCTTTTAACTTATTACGTAATAAATCTCTTGTATCTGTTGCATCTCGTTGTAGGGCTCGTGGGAGGGACAAACATGGTCGATAATGTTTTTCTTATGTTGCTTACCAGGTTTTTTTGGCTTCTGTTTGGCTTTCAGGGGATTTTTGCTTCCTCCCTTTGCAGGGGGCTTGCGATTTTGTTGTGCCGTGGGCTTTATTGTGGGTTTGGTTGCCCATTAATGTGTAATTATTTGGACGATGAGGAAACAGCGCTGCTTCAAGCGTCGTGGATGGCCAGGGTTGGTGGCAACCTGGGTGGCCCATCCCTTGGCGGCTTCTCATTTGCAGATTCTTCTCTCCCATGGATGGCCCCTACCTGGCAACCGACGCTGGTCTGAGTCCGCATATCCCGCTTCAAATCCCGTTTTTCTCTTATTTTAGGTTTTTGATGTTCTATTGCAATCTATTGCTCTGGCCTAGTGTGGGGTCTCCGATTGTATCTTTACTATTTTAGTGTATTCTTTTAAAAAAAAGGAAAGGGGATTTGATTTTTAAATAATTTTAATAATTTTGTATTTAAATTTTTAAATCAAAATAAAATTTAAAGCATTTTTTATTAATACATATTAAATTTGTCAACTTATGAGTTATTGAGTGAGTTGGAGTTTATTCAAATTATTATAGAAAATAAATTTTTTTAGTAATTAAAAAAAATTAAAAATAATGGCCAAATAAAAATTATGATTATGATTTAAAAAAAAAATAAAAATGTTATCTCAAATAAAGCTTTAGTTTCTTGACAAAATAATATTGATCCAAAATATTTTATTCAGAGAAAGATTGCTAAACATTTATTTTGTGATTTATCATTCATCATTATCATAAAAATTTCTTTAAAAACAATCATTATAAATTTTTATTTACAAAATTATTTAAACCTATTTTTTATTGCATTCCCTTTATAGCAAAAATTATTGTTTTATTCTTTATGCAACAATCTTTTGTGTTAATAAAAACAAAACAATTACAAATTAAATATATTATCGTTAAAAATAAACACTTTTTCTATGAAATTAAGATATTCAATAATTAGTCATGATAATATAATATCAAAATAATTATTATTTTTAATCCACAAAAACAGCCAAAAAAACAAGGTGTTTGTTGTTTTTTTATTCGAGAATAATTAAAATGGAATATAAAATTAAAAATTATTAAATTTGGATTTTCTTACAATAAAAGGTAAAAAAAACATACTGAATTAAAATGATATATCAATATAAGTTAAAATTTTGATAAATAAATAAAAATTAATTAATTAATTATTTTACAATTTGCTCTTAGTTGGATATGTTTTTTTGACCGTCCAAAATAAATTTTTTTGACATTTTCATATTATTAAAGGTTTGAATCATAAATTATATTTTTACAAAATTCGTCCTATTAATTAACTTTAGTAATATTTTAATTTTCGAACTTAGCCATTGGCAATCAAACAATTTGTTTGATACATCCATCAGAAGCAATGAAGACAGAAGAAGCTGACAGAGTAGGCTGCAATAAATAAATTATGTTAAAATAGTTAGATGTAAATTATATTAAAATAAATTTAAAAGTAATTAAATTTATTTTGAAATTAGTATATCATTTATAATTAATTTATGCTGCATTAATCTTAAAATATATATTAGATTACTAAAAATTTCATTATTGTATAAATATTATGTCATTTAAGTTATAACGTAATTTTAATTTTTATATTAGGTATATAAATTTTCATTGTTGTAATTTAGATTATCTTTTTTTCATATAATAAAATGATTTTTTAGGTTAGAAAAAATATTTTTTTTTTGCAGTGAAAGGTAAAAATTCAGAATGAATTAAAATTATATATCAATATAAGTTAAAGTTTTACTAAATAAAAAAGAATAATTAATCATTCTAAAATGTGCTATTAATTGGATTTATTTTTACCGTCCTATTGACATTTTATATTTTTGAAAGTTTAAATGATAATTCATATTTCTATTAAATTCGGACTCTTCATTAACTTCACTATTTTTTTAATTTTTTAATACGCTTATGAGTGGGTCCGCTTCAGGGTGTCAAAATGGATTGATAGATCTCATTTGGGTTCAACTTGAAATTAGCTCAACTCAAATTTAGTTAAATTGAATTTGACATTTTTAATAAATGAGCTAAAAAGACTTAACTCAAATCCAACCCGCTAGCAACTCGAATAAATTAAAATTGACCTGTTAACCCATTTAGTTAATTTTTTTAATAACTTCTTAAATATAAGTTTAAGATATTCGATCAAACATAAGAAAATTATTCTCACAAGTAAAAAAAAGATATTAAATGAGTATATTTCTAGTAAAAAACGGGTTCACAGTTCATCTTTGTTGCGTCATGGAGTATTCGTGGCGGTAGAGAAATATATTGTTTAACATTTTAGCATTGTATGAA